AAAACATTTAAAAACCCATTCCCTGAAACACTATTCTTAGCCTCTTTAATCCTAAATTTCTCATAAGCTTGTAAGATTTAATTCAAAGCAAAGTTATTAGATTTAAAGAATAAAAAGAACTTTTAAAATATTATATTTTAAAGTGTAAAGCGAGGGCAAGCGGAAAATTCGCGTGAAGTGTTTTGGCACTTAACCGTTCAATTGATTCTCGACAAACACTTCACCTTTCGCTTGTTTTCGCAGCTGTCGGCTATTGTCAACATTCAGCAACGGAATGCAAAATGCCGAATGCTGAAATCGCAAAATCAAACTATGCAAATGAAGGCCTGAGCTCGTGACCCGCGAATCGCTTTAATCAAAACCGAAAAAGTGGCCTGTCACTAAATGAAATATATGTAAATTTCATAAATGAAGTGAAGTGAAGTGAAGTGAACACACACATCCATAGCGGCATCAATATATCATCAATATTAAAATGCAATTACGGGCTGCCGCCTGCCAGCTGCCTGCTGGGGTAATCACATAAAAAATTAACCAAAGAATTGCGCTAAACGTTTGGGCTCGACCCGCTGGATACCTTGATTTTGCGTCATTCATGGCCGCAATTTTCCCCAGCAGTTTTCACCGCAGTTTTCCCCCAGCGAGCTCGCCTAAACGTATGCCACGGAAAAGTCAAGCAACTCCGACGGGATTTTGCAACGCGGAGTTAAAGTTTTCCACGCCATTTATTCGGTATCAGCGGTTCTAGTTTTAGTTTTTCGCGTAATTGTCAGGTTGTCACTCTCCGTGTTGGATAAACTTCGATGGTAATCCCTTTAGGTATTTCACTGGCAAAGCTGGGAAATCTCTGGCTTTTCAGCGGTTTTTGGCTTTCATTGTTGACCAAAATTGGAAAACTGTGGGCATCTAGCTTGCCATTTTTGATCGAAATATAATACCAACAATTTCCTTTGTTGTTCAAATATTTTTTGCAATTACTAACCATCGAACAAATTGAAACACGTTTTACAGGCACAAAGAAATATTAAAATTGTTCTTCTTTTTTTGCACTTTACTTGATTTAGTTGGTTTCTCATTAAAGAGAGTAGAATTTTTATTTACTATTTTACAAGTGTATTAATACTTAGTGGGTGTATGTAATTTCCAACTTTCGTCCAAGTTTTTTAGTTTTAGTTTTGTATAAATAATACAAGCATCTATGTTTCTTTGAATTTACCCAACCACATTAATAAATAAACAAGTACAAGTGTGCAAAACTTTTTATGCTAAAAGTGAGCAAAATTATGTATGCATTTGACTGTTAAAGTTTGGATTAGTTGAGAAAGAAAGTTAAATTAAAACACCTGCCAGCAACATTTTCATTTTATACTACACAAGAAACAATTCAACAATTCAACTCCTAGAAGATTTATTTCTCTTCTATAACGGGTATAGTCTACAAATATTTGGTTCTTCTATACAATTTTTCTTTCTGCGGAGAATACACAACCCTCAATCCATTCATTATCTCAATCAATATAGGCTAATCCGAGTACGACCTGTTTCACATTTCCGCTTGATCAACCGGTAAACCAGGACCCACCGCAGTTATTCAGATACCCCTTAACTAACCGCATCGAGTTACAATTACCATTGCCAGAAACCATTACAATCGATTCAATATTTGTCAGGGAAATTGTCATTAATACACAACGAGTGTGCAGCAGAAGTGTCCAATTTCCAGCGAAGTGACTCTGATTGCCCGGCTAATAATAAAGATTCAAAAAATAAAAGCTCGGCTCACAGTTAATCTAGTTGGAGACCAGCAGCCAATAGCACTTTACTCTTTTCCCGCTTCGCTATGCCACTCCAACCATTTTTTTACACCCCACGGAACACCTTTTTCATTTAATTCCGCACACGGAAAAAAAATTAAAAATTACACTTATTTTAAATTTGTATATGCATAGTTGTAATCTCTTTTTCAAAGCGCTGCTAACTATTTAAGTCAAACTTCATTAGTTAAAATGGATAACATGTAAATGGTCTTAAAAAAACGATTTTCATTTCATTTTAACGAATTTTAGATGGTTTGTTATATGTTTACTAAAATTGGAGGGCAAAGGGTTTGAATTTTATAGAAAAAAAGGTTGGAATTAAAGGTTAAGGTTTGAATAAAATTAAAATATCAAATCAGTACAGAGTATAAATCTAATAAATCTGTTTATTTCATTGCTTAATATTAAATATCACTGTAACAAACTGAATTGTGGTTCCCTACTATTGCTTTAATTAATTAACAGATACTTTAAATGTATAAATTACCATATCAGTGAACTATTTTAAATTGAAAAGCTACCATGCCATATTGAAGGGCACTTAAACCTAGGGAAGTGTAATGTCCTGCAAACGCTATAATGTATAAATAATCAGTGAACTATATTATATTGAAAACCTGCCAAAGAGATGGACATTTTTGGGTACGTTTTTCTCGGTGCAAACCTCTCACTAGAGCTTATGTATAATGCATGCCATCTCTCGACTCTTGGCTTGTAAACGTAGCCAGGCAACGGCCAACAACTTTGACTGGTCTTAATCGCTGGCTGGCAAAGGAAAACCCGAGGAAAAGCGATATCACGGGTGGGGGAGGGGTCGCGAAAACTGTCAGCGTCATTGCTATTGATGTCCGTCCTCGCACTTGGCTTTTAATATTCAAAATAGGAAAAGTGGCACCCAAAAAAACGAACCTAAAATCGCCGTACGAATAGAAACAACATTGTGCTGGAAAAATGCCGCTGTCGCTGACAGTTGATGCCAGGAATTTATATTTATATTTTCACGGTTGCCTGTTTTCTTGGCTGGTTTTTATTTATTGCTTGTATTGCCTTCTTTCATTTATTTTTTTGACAATTTTTTTTTTTTTTTGATTCACTGGAGGCACAGCGATACACTGGGAAAACGGAGCAGCAGATGCGGACAAAGAAAAGACCGACCGACGCGGTTAGAGAGAAAAGCGGTAGAGACTGGCTCGTCGGGCAGTCGAAATCCAACTGGATCCGCTGCCAAACATTTCAAGAGACCAGACCGGCAGAGTCACCATCACTCCCACCCGCACCATCAGCCCCCCCCTACATTACAACAACACCTTTTCTGGTCTCTTAATTTTTCAAGAGAAATATGACTTTCTTCTGCGGAGCAATAGTCATGCAAAATAGCCAAATAGGTGAGCACTACGCACGAAGAGAGAAAGTTACTCTGAAGAAATTCACCAAAAGAGAAATAGTTGGAGGAACAGGAAGAGGGAGAGAGAGAGAGGGAAAGAAACAGAGAGAGAGCTTTTTCCAGACTCTCCCCCAACCCCTCCTTTTGGAAATGTAAACTGGAAAACTCTGCAAATTGTCGGCAAAAACATATAGTAACCAAGTTCTTCCAGCACAACTACAAAAAGCTCTCAATGATTACAACTTACACTACACTACACTAATAAACAAAAAAAGTGGTAAGTCAAGTTAAATATTTTGGTAATGTGACATTTTTTCAGTTCTTTATTTGTCTATACTCGGAAATGATTTTGATGTCTGAAATATTTAATTAAATTTACACCATAATACACTACAAATATATTGCTTACTGAACAAAGATGGCCCCTTTTTAAGTCAAATATTTTAAAGATTTTTACAAACAGTTTTTTATTTTACAAAATAAAATAAAAGATGACCCATTTTAAATCCAAAATGTTTAATATTTGTAACATTTATACAATTAGTTTTATATTGAAATAATTAAAACATAATCGAACCCATTTTAAACCTTATATTTTTAATATTAATACCAATATTTTTATATTTAATCATTATGATTTTTATTAAATATAATGATTTTTTTATTTTTTTTTTTGGTATATGTTGTTTTAAATTTAAATTCACATATATATTTGTACTGTTCCATTTGTTTATCAGTGTAGCGAGAGATGGCTAGCAAAAAGTGAGAGAGAGAAAGGTGATGGCTAAAAAAATAGTGAGAAAAAGAGAGGGGATATATAGATAGAGCGAGGGGGTGATAATTTGTGAGTTGTAATTGAAATTTCATGGATTATTAGTTCACCCAGACAGAATCTAGAGGGATACCAAAAAAAGAGAACAATTCTGAGCGACTCTTTCACAAAATCATACCCAAACCCGTATTTTAAGTCACCCAAAAGCCAAACCACCTTAAAAACCCCTTGGAACCAACTGTTGATTGAGGCCAGTCCGAAATAGCTTTGGTTTTAGGACGAGGATGGGGGGATTCCCCACGTTTAGGCATTGGAATTTTTGCTCTTTTTCTTTTGGGGATGTTGGCTGGGCCGGCTTAACTCCCACTTTAACCTATTCGTTACCCTAACCCCACCCGAAAAGTCTCTGGTTAATGAAGCGCTTTATTGGACCATCGCCAAGGGCAGAAAAAGAGGTGAGCGGATGGTATGGTATATACATATATGGGTTTATATGGGTCTCTATGCCAGCAAGTGTTGAAGGTCAGGCCCTCAGGGGACCAAAACGTTACTGCTTTTTCGGATTCGGTTTCGGTTTCGGCTTTGTTGAGTGTCCGAGCTGTTATTGCAATAGCAAATTGAGGTAATGAAATCGAAACAAATGCTAAGAGTGGCAGTAAAGTGGTCCGCAAAACGCCAGCCAGAGCTGCATATAAAAAAGACATAGCAAAGCATTTGATAGTCTTCAATATATGCTGTATTTAGGTATTTTTTACTCAGCAGAGCGTCTTCTATCATTTCAAATCAAATCTATTAGAGATTCCATCTATCTTAGCAGAAGCTATCTTTCCAAATAAATTACAATTATTAAGGTTGTCTAATATCAATAGCAATAGCTCGTGTCGGGAGCGCGGAAGTAAAGCATTCTATTTAATTGATAAGCGTTCCAAGGCACATATAAACACAGGCAAGTGAGCCCCAAAATATAGTTGTCTTTTAAAGCTGGTCCCATACGCGTTCACTGTTCTGAAAATAACACAAAATCAAAATGAATTTTTGGGCAGCACTTGTGTACTATCTGTATACTCACGTAGGCGGTTGGAACTTCGACTTCGACTTTACGCCTAAGCCAGACTTGTCAGAATACCAGAAAATTGGCACAAGATATTTTATCATTGAGCGCAATGTGGAGTTAAATTGGACAGATGCTGAACGCGCCTGTCAGGAAAAACGAGGACACTTAGCGTCCATCAAGGACGAGGAAGAAAAGTTCGCCTTCATGTATGTGATTAAGGATTATGAGTTCTACTGGCTAGGCATCAACGATCGAGACAATAAAGGCGAATATATGTCAGTGGCTTCCGGGAAGAAAGCCCCGTACTTAAAATTGAAGAAGTATAATCCCAGCCCTGCTCCAGATAATGAGCGCTGCGTGTGGCTCTTTGATAACGACATGACTGATGGCAGATGTGAATTAAAATCACCTTATATTTGCCAGGCAGATACCGAATTTTAGTTATCAAAAATAAAATCACAAGCAATTTGACTTGTTCACATCACTTAAATATGTATCAAAGATTAATCAAAATACTCGTGGCAATTTATTTAATCAAACATGTTATATATTCCAACCATTAACCTTAGTAAAACATATAAAATATAAAGATAGAAAAAATATAATTAAAAACTATTATTTTTGTTGTCGTTTTAATTTACGTTATCAATGTTTGTAGAACAAAAATCTTAACTCTTATATGGGTAAGTCCATAAGGACACTTGGCATCCATAAACAACAATGTGGAGCTGGTGGTCACCATTTCCAAAGTCGATTATGATGAATAAGGCTATATTTCCGTGGCTTTCGGAAAAGAGACCCTATTTTTAAGTGGGTCAAGGGGGAACCTGATTAAACGAGCGACCAACCGCACTGCGTGGCTCTGTTCTTTGGCAAATTGTTTGACATGAGTTTTAATTGTGTACATGAACATTTTAATAAATAAATAATGAAAGAGTAAAAAATATATATGGCTGTTGAATTAAAAATTGTGTAAGGTTATGATCTACAAGTAAAATCAAGACACCTATTTAAACTAAACTTTTAGTTTTAAATGTGAAAAATAGATAGCATTGTATTAAAACCCATGCTATTATTTCTAAGATAATAAATATTTCAATATTTTGTGTTATATTTCGAATTTGTTTTTGTTGCTGTATTTAGGTATTTTTTACTCAGCAGAGCGTCCTCTATCATTTCAAATCTATCTTAGCAAAAGCTATCTTTCCAAATAAATTACACCTATTAAGGTTATCTAGGTTCAATAGCAAAAGCTCGTGTCGGGAGCGCGGAAGTAAAGCATTCTATTAAATTGAAAAGCGTTCCGAGGTACATATAAACACAGGCAAGTGAGCCCCAAAATTTAGTTGCCTCCTAAAGCTGATTCCATACGCGTTTACTGTTTCGAAAACAATACAAATTTAAAATGATTGTTTGGGCAGCACTTGTGTACTATCTGTATACTCACCTACGCGATTGGAACTTCGACTGCGACTTTACGCCTAAGCCAGACTTGTCAGAATACCAGAAAATTGGCACAAGATATTTTATCATTGAGCACAATGTGAAGTTAAATTGGACAGATGCTGAACGCGCCTGTCAGGAAAAACGAGGACACTTAGCGTCCATCAAGGACGTGGAAGAAGAGTTCGCTCTCATGTATATGGTTGAGGAGTATAAGTTCTACTGGCTAGGCATCAACGATCGAGACAATAAAGGCGAATATATGTCAGTGGCTTCCGGGAAGAAAGCCCCGTACTTAAAATGGAGTAAGTATAATCTCAACCCTGCTGATGACATTAACCGCTGCGTGCGTCTCTTTGGTCACTTCATGATTGATAGCAGATGTAAAGAAAAATCATCTTATATTTGCCAGGCAGATACCGAATTTTAGTTATCAAAAATAAAATCACAAGCAATTTGACTTGTTCTGATCAGTTAAATATATATCAAAGATTAATTAAAATACACTTGGCAATTTAATTAATCAAAAATGTTATACATTGCAACCATTAACTTTAGTAGAAAATATAAACATCAAATTGTAAGCCTCCAATAGATAGAAAAAATATAATTAAAAAGTATTATTTTTGTTGTCGTTTTTATTTACGTTATCAATGTTTGTAGAACAAAAATCTTAAGTCTTATATGGGTAAGCCCATAAGGACACTTGGCATCCATAAAAAACAAAGTGGAGCTGGTGGCCACCATTTCCAAAGTCGATTATGATGAATAAGGCTATATTTCCGTGGCTTCCGGAAAAGAGCCCCATTTTTAAAGTGGGACAAGGGGGAACCTGATTAAACGAGCGACCAACCGCACTGCGTGGCTCTGTTCTTTGGCAAAATGTTTGACATGAGTTGTAATTGTGTGTTTTAATAAATAAATAATGAAACAGTAATAAATGTATATGGCTCTTGAATTAAAAATTGTACAAGGTTATGATCTACAAGTAAGATCAAGACACCTATTTAAACTAAACTTTTAGTTTTAAATGTGAGTAAATAGATAGCATTGTAATAAAACCCATGCTATTATTTCTAAGATCAATATAAATGCTTCAATATTTTGTGATATATTTTGAATTTGTTTTTGTTGCTGTATTTAGGTATTTTTTACTCAACTTCTATCATTCAAATCAAATCTTTTAACGAGTCCAACTATCTTAGCAGAAGGTTTCTTACAAATAAAGTACAATTATTAAGGTTATCTAGGATCAATAGCAATAGCTCGTGTCGGGAGCGCGGAAGTAAAGCATTCTATTTAATTGATAAGCGTTCCAAGGTACATATAATCACAGGCAAGTGAGCCCCAAAATTTAGTTGTCTTTTAAAGTTGGTCCCATACGCGTTCACTGTTCTGAAAATAACACAAAATCAAAATGTATTTTTGGGCAGCACTTGTGTACTATCTGTATATTCACGTTGGCGATTGGAGCTTCGACTTTACGCCTAAGCCAGACTTGTCAGAATACCAGAAAATTGGCAAAAGATATTTTATCATTGAGCACAATGTGGAGTTAAGTTGGTCAGATGCTGAACGCGCCTGTCAGGAAAAACGAGGACACTTAGCGTCCATCAAGGACGAGGAAGAAGGGTTCGCCTTCATGTATGTGGTTGAGGATTATAAGTTCTACTGGCTAGGCATCAATGATCGAGACAATAAAGGCGAATATATGTCCGTGGCTTCCGGGAAGAAAGCCCCGTACATAAATTGGCATGAGTATAATCCCAGCCCTGAAGAAGACAATGAGCGCTGCGTGACTCTCTATAGTAACTACATGTTTGATAGGAGATGTGAAGTAAAATCACCTTATATTTGCCAGGCAGATACCGAATTTTAGTTGTCAAAAAAAAAATAAATAAATAACAATATATACATCAAAGGAGAATTCAATTACTCTTGGCAACCTAAGTAATTTTTTATTTTGGCTATCGATGTTTGTAGAACAAAAATAGGAACTTTTATGTGGGTAAGTCCATAAGGACACTTGGCATCCATAAAAAACATAGAGGAGCTGGTGGCCATCATTTCCAAAGTCGCTTATGATGAATGAAGACGACTATATATCAGTGGCTTCCGGCAAAAGAGCCCCTTTTTTAAAGGGGGTCAAGGGGGAACCTGATTAAACGAGCGACCAACCGCACTGCGTGGCTCTGTTCTTTGGCAAAATGTTTGACATGAGTTGTGTTTGTGTACAAGAACATTTTATGTGCCAGGCAGATAACGAGTTTTGGAAATTTAATCTGAACAGCAATCCTTTTGTTTTAAATTTAATCAAATAAATATTGGCAGACAGATGAAATAATAAACAATATATGTTCCCTGCTAAAAAAGTTATTGGTATAAATACATATTAAATAATGCTCTTGATGAAAAGAAATTTAACCATTATTTTTATACATAAAGAAACAGTAAAAAATATATATTGCTGTTGAGTTCAAATTTTCTTATTTCTTATTTCAGGTTTTATTAATTTTGTTAAATACCATGCATGTTAATTTGCTTGATTTAATATTAAAATAGTCAAATTAATGTGGTAAAATGTATATTTTAAGTGGGTTCTTTTTTTAACACATATTTAAGTTTAACATGATTTATATCAAAAAATAAATTATTCAGATAGTGAAAAACTCAAACAAATTTAAATATATATGCATTAGCAATATTTTTTTTGCCAGTCTGAGGGTCTTACATATTTCTTAAGACTACAGTGAACTTTGCTTAGTTCCACAACAACCCGATTAAAATTCTTGAATTTCATTTTTGGTGTTCAATAGATTTCTTTATTGCATTTCTTTACCTTTTTAAATTCATATATATAAGTATATATATATATATATTTGTTCAATTATATATATAAATGTATTTATTTAGTTAAATTTTCTTTTTTCATGAATTATTGAGAGAACAATTTGTTTTGTTTAGTTCAAATAGTATACAATTTGCTTAACTATACAGTTACAAAACGGTTTCAAAATCATAGCGAGAAAAAGAAAACGATATAAACAATTGTTTATATCCATTTCCTATAGCTTGCAATTATTTAATATTAATTTAGTTATTATTAATGCTTTGTTCATTGTAAAAACTTAACAAATGTTTTGAAACTTCGTTTATTTGTTGCCCATCTTCGATCTTATTGTTGCTTAAGTTTTGCCTCCTATTATTTTGCTTGTTTTTGTTCCTTTGTTTGTTCTTAATAATTATCATGTTTATTCTTACAAATATGTAGGCAAAATGCTTGCTGAGAGATATATATATGTATGTATATTCAAAATGTACAAGAGAATTAGCTAATGACTTTCGCAAGTGAAATCAAAGGAAAATCGGGGAAAACAATTTGCAAACCTGTTTGTTTTTTGAACCACGCGAACACCAGTGAGTTTTGTTTTTTTGTTTTGTTTTTTGGGGTTAACCCCTCAGCAATTTGTAAACTTTTTCAACAAATTCAAGTTAACTGAACGGAACTGTAAGGAATTCCCTGCCGCTTCTGAATTCTTTGTTTGTTTTGAATTTACTCGTGGGAGGGTATAGAAGTAATTTGCATATTAACTGGTTGAAATTGAAATTTTGGTTAAAGTTACTCGTTCTGTTGATATGTGGGGCAACTTTTCAGGTTGGCATAAATTCTTTTCCAGCTTACCGAGTAATCCCAGCATGTAAGTGAGTGATGAGCGAAATGTGCCAACAGTTGGGAAATTTCGTTTGTTTTTCTTGGGCTTCAAGTTTCACCCGGAAAACTTTTGCGTCTTTCGTTGGGCAAAAATCAGCACCTTTCGTATTTTTAGTTTGGAAAAAAGTTAAAGTCAACACGTGCGCCTGGCTTGAATGAATTTTAAACAGTATATAGTATGTACTTTATCTTTGGTTCCTGTTTAGTTAAGCTTCTCTAATCGAGTTTGATTTGGAGTCTCCTCTTTAATTTTGTTTACAAATATATCGAAATAAAGCTTTCAAACCGAACTGCCCCACGAGAATTGGGGCAGACGAGTCTTTTTACACAACGCATAAGGAACTGGCAAACCGAGTTAAAAAAGCTTCTAGGTTTTATATACACTCCTCGACGATTTTCAATATCTATGGCTTATGTAAAAAATGGATCGTTATTAAGCTTGCATTCGGTAAAAACACTTGGTATGGTTAAAAACGTTGCTTTTCTCTGTCTTGGTTAGCTCTCGATGGTAAAATGTTGTCGTCAAGCAATTGGATTATCTATATTTAGCTAAGGTTACGTTTAGGTTCGATATTGATAGGTATGTCGTGATATGGTGAACAAAAGTAGCGAGTCTATTTATTTCAATCGATCCGAGATGGATGGATCGTTGTTATAATATAATAAAGTAATTAATATAATATATAAATAATATAGCTGTAGTTTCTGAACTTATGTACTTTTCAGAATGGTTTATTGCTGGATCTTTGTCTTCTCATCTCTGATTTGACATCAATGTATATGTTTAAGTGTTTACAAATAATAAACTAATTTATAATACAAGTCAGCTTTTTAGTTAACTATTAAATCTTACTCTTCTGACAATCAAATAATAGTTCTAACAATAAATAGCATCACAATTGAAATTTTGATATTTGTGAATATATGATATTCATTTTGTTATTATGAGTATTTAGGTTTTGTAAAACAGTTAAGTGATATGATCGAAACAAGGACGATCTATGATCAATGATAAGTGATTCCATTGCCAACTCTGAAACACTTCTTCCTCGTCCTTAGCGAATACGTATGCGAAGGCTATGATATTCGAATGGATATTGCTTATTGGGGGGGATATGGGAAACATGTGTGTACACTCAGAAAAAAAATCAAAGTGACCTAAGAAGTATCAAAACTAACCACATTTTAGGAATAATGACCTAGAAAGTATCAGAATGGACTAGACTTTGGAAAACATATACTAAGAAGGCGCTAAAAACATACAGCTGCGGTCAAAATAATAGTTGTGTAGTACTAAAGTAGTCAAAATAGTAGTAGTAAATTTCTCAAAAACAAACCTTTTCTTTTAATATATCGGAATGCTTAAAAGCAAAAAAACAAAATGAAATTTAAAATACCTTTTTAAAGGATAATGAAAGCTTCATCCTTTAAAATCACTTTGGAAGATTTCACAGTAAATGATTCTATAATAGTTTATAAAAACTAGCCATAAATCGTCGATTATCTGCATTTTGAGTATGAATAAAAATGTTTTCAATTTTAGCCAATTTCAGGTTAGTTTAACACTTTTTAGGTCATTATTCCCTAACAAAAGTAGATAATTTCAATACACTTAAGGTCATTTTGGTTTTTGGGTATATTCTGGGTGTAGATATCAGGTGGCTTGAGTCTCTTGGCTGCCTTCCCATATTTTTGTTTTAGAGAAATGCCTTCTTGCTGGTTTCCTGGGCCGCATTTGTGGTTGTGGTGGTGGAGATGCCCGAATCCTTGCCCACACTCGCTGTGGTTGAGACGGCAATGCTGGGCACCACCACATTGGCCGGTGGTGTTGATATGGCTGGTGGTGGGGCACCAGCAGCAGTTGTAGATGTTGCCAACCCACCAGAACTGGGTGGCGGTGGGGGCGTGGCTGCCAGGGGCGTGGGTATGCGGGGCTGAAACGAGGGTTTGCCCATCGCCAGGGCAGGATTCAGATCCAGCATTGTCCTGGGGCTCATGGCCACAATACTAGCGCCCAGCGGACCTGCGAAAAGTTGAGCAACTTTTTTGTTTTAACCCCGCCACAGAAAGGATTATCAGTTTTGGGATAGGAAGTAGTGGTGGTTGGGGTGGAGTTACAATAGCCGGAAACAATAGATAGTTATAGTAGTGGGGAAGTAGTCCAGGTAGAATAAGAGAAAAACAGAGAAAGAAAGAGAGAGAGAGAAATAAATATTATTTTTATTAAGTTGGTTAGTTCAAGCTGGAGATTCCAAATTCGGTAAACTTCGAATTTTATAATGGCAGGTGGGAGATACATAAGTTCTTAGTCAAAATTGCTGATTGGATAATTACTGGGTGCACTTGGTTACTACGATATACGATTTGTTTTTTTTTTTGGGGGGGAGGGTAGGTGTAACACGAACACAAAGACAAACAACACACACATCGACAACTTCTAGACTATGACAACTAATCACACTCTAAGACTGGGGGTCAAAGTTCAGGTCACATGCAGCATGCTATATTAGATACATTATTTGGTAAAGATTTCCACTTGGACTTCAGGCAGAGGGGCTAAAAGTGGTGGGAATGGGGGGAGTTTTTGTTGTAGAATCAAATGCTGGGAAATCGGATTTGTGAAGGTGGCTCTAGAGCTCTAGAGATTCTGATTGCTACGAACTAGTTTCGAAGTTTTTCAACTATTTGACACTTTTTAAGTTTGGGGGTAAGAGCAAGAAAGTTGGAGGTTGATAGGGGTAGATAATAAGAGGGTTTCTTAACCAACACACACCCGCCCAGCAGAGTCCGAGTTTTGGTTAGCTGATAGCTGATAGCATGATAGATGAACGATATACATTTTGTATATATAACTGAGGTTTCGTTTTTGATTTCGTTTTTCTTTTCGATTTTGTTGCTGAGTTTTTTCTTGTTTTTTTTTTTGTGTCTTGAGCGGGCTTAACAAATTACAAAATATCTTTCTGTCTTAGTCGAAACTGAAGGCCATATCTGAAATACAAGAGTTCAAGATAATACAACGTTTTTTCCATGTATTTTAATCAATTTATGTTATAGCTAAGGGTATCTCTGATTCGGGGCAACTGAGACTAAAAAAAAATAACCACAAATTTACACACGCACACACAGAGAAGAGAGAAGATACGATATATATATGGTATACACTATCTTATACACTTTGTAACGAAGAAACGAACGAGCCAGAACTGAAGAACAACACGTACACGATATATATGTAATATATAATATTATATATGTATAAAGATAGGTGGAGAAATATATAGAGAGAGAGAGAGAGGAAAACACGTAGAAAATTACATATTGTAGTTATATATACGATTATATAGCAGGTTGTAGTGGTAACAGTAGACAGCAGTAGCAGATGTCGCCGTAATTATAGTAATCATATGCATATCTATGGCTAAATGGCATCCAGAATTGTGCTTCGATCCAACGTACCACGATCCGTTTTATCCGATATATATATATATATCCAATTATGATTTTTATCCAGTCCTTTTCCTTCGTTTACTCATAGATCAGTTTGCCAAATTCTTATATGGAAAAGATCATCTCTCATTGCAAGTTTTAGCTTGGAAGTTAATGGTATATGGGGGTTTATTGGTTCTTCAGCTGGTTCTGTTGTTGTTGTTGTTGTTTCGTGGTTCATGTTGTTGTTGTTGTTGTGTTCTATGACTTAGAGCAGCCTGCTCTTTTTGCCATCACGCGGTTTGCCAATCATTGTTGTATATTCATCTATTTACACAAGATTTTTGGGGTTTGGATTGGATGGTTTATCAATAAAATTAAATTAAATATTAAATAAGTAAACGCAAGTACTTGGAGCAAAAAGATATCAACATGAAAAATTAAATATTAAAATGGGTACATATTATATATATATATATATAGAGTCTCGTATCTGGGTGTCATAATCATTGAAGAAAGGGTATATATAAATTGGTACGATACATATTCTTGTATTTTGCTGACTCAATGGAGAAAAAGTAAATCCTATACTGATTGTGGGGCGATGACTTTGAATATACAGGAATGTCTTCGATGGATGGAGAAAATTAGTAAAGCTCTGCTTATTATATAATGTGGTAATGACTTGAATTTTTATAGAAATTGATTGGAATAAGAAATAGAGAAATACTTATAACCTTTTTAAGCTTTTCGTTCGGTTAATGTGTTAATTTGATTCCTAGATTTTTTTTGGAGCTACTAGAACTAAGTTTTGGTGAACACTTACTCTATTTATTATTAAATAGTACATTGTGTAATCTTTAAAAACTTAAGTACTCAGTTTATTATATTTAATAAATTTTTTTTGAAGCAAACAAATTTATTGGTTCTGTAAGTTTCTTTAAAAGGTTAATGTATTTTTCCATTTTCATTTCAATCGCTCTTCAATTTAAACTTCAGAATCCACCATTGTATAACCTTTTGAATGAGTTGCGTGAAATGAAAGCTTAGCTCGAATAAATGAACAAAATCGAATATGAATAAAGAAGCCTAAAAAATGCATGGTAATTACATAGGGTACATATATACACGTACACGACGAATGACATGTTATATAATGGATATAGTATAGCCGAAAAGGAGAAGCGCACCCAAGATTCAGGACTCGTTTTTGGGTCATAGATTCGTATTCGTATTTCTTGGCAACATTTACCATTTGCCTTAGTATATATAATAATATCAATTACTATCAATATTCATTTGGAAAAAGAGGAGAAACTGCGAGACGGCACAAGGGATAACGAGTATTTATTACTGGGTTGTGTTTTTGCAAAGTTAATCCATTGAACTCGATTACTTTTGTACTTTTGAGGGTGCAGCTGTGCGAGCTTTTCAAAGACAGGTTAAGAACTTGGTTTTAGCTGGTTTACTCGTTTTTTTTTTTTTTTACTTTTAGTGGTATATTTGGTTTATTTTGGCAGTGCCTTTCTGAAGCGCAGCTCGGTTATAATTGGTTTGCTTATAGTTTTTTTGGTGGCATTTAGCTTGATGCTTGCATTTTGCTTGGATTGTGGGAATCGGTGTGGTGTCAATCGATCGAGGACACACAATGGACTCACCTGACTTGGGGCTGACCAGGTCCTTGGTTTTATTGTTCATGCGACGTGGTCCAGTTCCGCCGGATCCCATGGGACCGGAATGGGGACCCGAGCCCGGGGTGCCACAGCCACTCACACCGCCAGGGGCACCTGGAAAATAAAGATTTTTAAATATTAAATTAAATCTATAAATAAAATATAGTGTTTTAGTTAATAAAGTTAACATAATTTCAATTATTTCCTTTATAATTATTTAAAATTACCATCTCTGTTTACTTTACAATACTTTGTGAGGCAAGTTTATGGACATTTGAAAAGATTTATTTTAAAATTATAATTGGCGCAGGGCTGGGTAAAATCAAATAAGTACAGCAACGAAAACAATTCCGAAATATAATAAGTGTTATTTGAAAATAATCTACAGAAGGTATTAAAGTATAAATTTTAAATTATTACTTAACCCCTATAGTTTTTAGTTTCATTTCTATACCGAACAGTCTGAGGCTGCATTCTTGTCCTTTATTTTCAAGCCACGCAAATTTTATTTTGATACTGTTGTGGTTTTAATTTAATACTCATCTCTTCGAGGCATTTTTCATACACAATAGTTCAAAATGCATGTAACAACAGTTCAACATTTTTTAAATTGCAACTTTTCAATACCTCAGATATAGGCCAAAATATTTAAAATATTTAATTAAATAAATTTTTATATAAGCTTTTCACAATATTTGCTCAGATCTAATAATATATATATTTTTATTTTTTTTATCGTTTTTAACTAAAGAGTAGGACCCACCTGGCAGACGTGGCTGTCGCGGCTGCTCGACGGGAAGCACTCGTCTCCGCTTCTTTGGCAGTTTGGCCCTGGCCTGCGTGTGCGAGTAGTACATGGCGAAGTTGCTGACGATGACGGGCACTGGCAGTGCGATGGTTAGTACGCCGGCGAGGGCGCAGAGGGCGCCCACGAACATACCGATGTAGGTTTTGGGGGCCATGTCGCCGTAGCCCACCGTGGTCATGGTGACCAGGGCCCACCACAGGCCCAATGGTATACTGTTGAAGTCGTTGTGCGGGTTCGGCTGGATCCGTTCTGCGTAGTAGACGAGGCTGGCGAAGATCACGATGCCCAGGACGAGGAAGAACACCAGCAGGGTCAGCTCCTTGGCCGAGGCCCTAAACGTCTGGATCAGGATCTTCAGCCCAGACGAATGGCGCGTCAGCTTGAACAGTCGCATTATCCTGATGATCGAGAAGAACTCGAGGATGTCGGCGTTCTCCAAATGCGACGCGAATCGCTGAAGCACTAGATCGATATAAAAACTAAGCGTCGCTATGTAATCTATGATGTTAACAGATGACTTGATGAATTCACACTTGTTCGGCGATGAGATAAAGCGCACCTGAAAAGGGAATAAAATTATTAGGAAATTAAACAAATCTTATGGGCCTATAACTAATCAAGAGTTTTCTTATATTAATAACGTGAGAGATGTTTTTGCATTAATCTATATTAAAACCCAGCAACTAGAATACATTTCCATTTTTATTAAGCCTGTTAAAACAACAGGTCTTTAAAATAAATGTTAGCTGAATTCTATCAGTTTCAAAGCTTAAAAATACGAAAAACTCGTACAAAATAATTTGGTATATATTATAATTTAAAGATTTTTAATTTCTTTATTTCGGAATTAATGTTGGGCACTTAATTGTTACTAAAAGTGAGGAAACAAACATTGAAACATTTTTTATTGTATCTTTATTATAGTTTCCAAATAGTTTATTCCGCTGAATTAATCTAAAGAGTTTAAAATTTTTGAAATTTAGTTTAGTCTGTATTTAATCATTTACAAAGCTTTACCATTTAAATAAGTCTGTGAAAAACGTTGTGCTTAACATCCTGGCTAGTTATATACATTTTATTAAATATCTTACCAATATTTCAAAGGTAAACCACGCATTGCATACGCATTCGATATAGAAGAAGGCTATGTGCGCATTGGTCTGGGTTTTGTCCAAAAACCAGCCATTACTTCCATTCGCAGTTTTCACTGTAATATTCCGGACATAGGGCACTCGCATATCGGGATGGGTCTTCAGGCAGAACGACAGGATCGAAATGCAGATGAAGAACACCGAAACCACGCCAATGGTCTGAAATATAAATACAATATTTTAAAATCCCATATATAATAAAGCGGTATTTAATATCAAATCAAAATGGTAGAGTATATATAAAAAATCACACAACTTATTTATGAGATGATTAATGCCTTAATATGCATAGACTTACATTCACTCAAAATGAAAGCACATTCAACGCTGCCTACGTATTCCCAAATTAAAATCCAATGCACTTTTGTAATTACTTATTAGATTGCTTTTAATGTGGAATTTTTATGTGGGTGTTCTCCTTACTCATTCGTTAAATTGTCGAAATTATTTATAGCTTCATTGAAAACAGAATTTAAGTGTTTGTTCTGCCAAATGCATTTATATATAATTTTATGTCTGTTGCATTTAAAGCTATAAATTCATTGTATGGGCAAATCAGCTTGTAAGAAATGGGAAATTCAGTCCATTTTATTATTAAATACTTATTACTTGTAAGATTGTTTCCATTGTGAAAGTTTTAAGTAGGTGTCCTTAATCATTTAAAAAAGTTCTTCAAGCGTTTTAAAAAGAAAAACAAAACATTTTAATAGCAATAGGTTTCAATTTGTAAGAATCATTTTCCTTTTTAGGTTTTTGTCACTATTTTTGTACTTAAAACTTTTGCTAATTTTCTCTGCTTAGATTTCATTTTTAAATAAAAACACCTATTAATATGTTTTTCACCTTGGCGGCATTGGAACTGTAGGGCTCGTCGAACAAGGACCAAATGCGCGGCTTCATCTCCTGCCACCAGGATATGGTGCCTTTGTAGTAGTCCTCCTCGAAGCCAAATTTGCGTGCCAATTCTTCTTCGGACGGTTTTTCCGTATCCAGATCGAGACGATCCAGCACGGCAAGGGTTTCCTGTGTGTCGCGATGCTACAAGATATAAATCAAGCTTTTTAGTTAAACAATTAGTTAGTTTAATAAGCTGACTAACCTGTGTATAGGTCATCCAACAGCAGGGCTCCACTTGGTTCGAATCTAGGCCCCAAAACTCCAATTCCTCTTCGAACAGCGGTCCACAAACATCTGTGGGATAATGCAGTTTACCGGTTCTGAAATGTAATATATTTAATAGTTTTATATTTGGTAAAAAAAAACAAAAACCCACCTGTAATAGTTGAGCACTTGTGCGAAGACGCCCGGATGACGATCAAAGAAGTACTCATTCAATATCGGATCATAATTGGCCAGGGCTTCGGTCAGTCGCGATAATCGCGTTGCCGGAATTTTTTTCAGTGTGGCCTTGTAGGTTTCGTGCCGAATGCCACCCACATTGAGCACCACCCGATTTTCCGAGTCCATATTTATCAGATTCATGGCTGCATGCGCATAGTGATGCATTTTTTTTATGTATTTAAGTCATTGTTTTAAAAAACCAGTAAAAAGTAAATCTTTAAGAATTAAGTTTGCGGGCTTGCCAACGAATTTAAATTTTTAAATTGTGGAAAACTATTGAGTTTTTGTATATTTGAATTGAGTGTTGATAGATAGTGTTGATAAATAAATAATTTCCTCCTTTTTGTTTTTGTTTGTGTTAACATATAATTGTGTATTATTTAAGAATATTTTAAATGGCATTTAAAGCCATTTTAAGCGGCTACTTTTTGGAATTGTGGGTGGGTTTCTTTTTGTTTTGTATTTTTTACTGCATGTTCTGCTCCAACTTAATTATTTTATTTTTTGTGGGTGTTTCTTCTCTTGTTTTCTTTTTTTTTGTTGGGTTTTTGTGTGATTTGAGTGTATAATATTGTTTGTTTTTTTCCTAAATATCTTGGGATTTCTTTGTTTTGATTTTCTACTGGCCAACCTGAATGCTTTTCGTTGTCCTTGTCCACGACTTTTCAAGTTCTCAGTGCCTCAGTGTCTCAGTGCCTCCTCCAAGGCACCACACTCTCCTGTCCAGTCACTTCCTCCGATCCACTTTTCGGCACCCTCTGGATCCCCAGATCAGGTCTCAAGTTCGCGGACTCCCACTTGAAAATGTTTGACCAGATGTTAGGGACAAACCCAAAACATCTTTGCAATTGGACTACTCACTATGTTGGGGCTGGATTGGACAACATGGCGCTGAAAGATAAGGATTTAAAATTCAAAGATTGTCATTTATATTTATCTATATTGTTTACAAAATGTTATTCATAAATTTCTTCACTGATAAAAAAATTGAATACTAACAAATTTGTATAAATAATATTTAAATTAAATATTATGAATATTACATTTTATCATTATTGCCTATGCGATCCCTCTTTTTTAATTATGAGTTTATAGCCTAGACACATGTGCCGGGTAATCAAATCTATTATTTACGTAAGTAAGTTTAAAAAAGTTAGTAAGCTTATAAGTAGTTACACTTCATTTTAACAAATATATGTTAGCAAATAAATGTTAGCAGTGTACAATAATATTGAAATCAAATAAATTGCATATAAAAGGTTCCCATAAACAAAATTCACCTGACCTCGCCCTCGAATGTTAAACATACAAATCATCGATTCTAAATCAATATTTTCTGTATACAAATCATTGAGTAACGCGTATGTATTAAATATCATTTCAGTTGAGTGGCCAACTTTCGCACATCTTCAATTTATGGCGGAATACCGAAAAGATTGTTTACCTTTAAGATAATAAATATGGATCCGTGATTCCAAATAATTCAGTTATGTGTAAAAGTGTGCCGAATTTTGTTCAATAGAAATAGGTAGGTTTTTTTTTTTTAATTTTCCGTTTGCCAAACTAGTTGATCTATGCATCCGATGATTCAATGGTTGGATTCACTTTATTTAGCGAGTATTTCTACGCCGCATAAATATTTAAAATCAACAAACTCATCGCTTGAAATAAGACCATCTATTTGGAAAATGGGCAATAATATTCGCTTCGATTGAATTGACCCATTAGCAGCTCGTGAAGCGCATCCCACTTGGGTTTGTTCTTCTTTTTGGCCAGATCTACTAAATATAGTACAACCATATCATCGATAGCGTCATCAGTTTTTGAGAGTGGCACCAAATAAGACTATATGGTACTGTAGTATATAAAAAAAATACAAAAAATAAAGGAGCAAAACGTAACGGAATAATGAAATTGCCTTTCGTGATTTGCACAAAAGGCAAATATTTGTTCTTAAACAATATTTAGTTTTGGCGCTGCATTGTTTACACTCTCGCACACAAAGATACAAATGTATCTAGATACCCGGTGGCACAGCAGCGGTCAAGAGAATAACACTGGACTTACAAAAAATAATAAATCGAGCTAATAAAAGATAGATACATTTTAAGAAAAATAATTTGATAATATTACATATTCAATACCAATACTCATAGCAAAACAAATTAAATTTTAAATTAAATTGAATCAAAATAATGAAAGACAATAATTATAAATATTGATACTAATCTTCCCAAAAAATGTAAAATTAGTTTAGCAAAAACATAAATTTAAGAAAAAAATTATTCGATAATAATAAATACTGAATGCTAATCAATGTTCCAATAAAATTTTTGAAAAATAGAAATTCGTAATATTTGCTATAATAATAAAATATTGAATGATACTGATAGATAAATTGGTTGTTTTTTTAAGCAGATATTGGCTCTTTAGTGGCTTTAAGCCTGCATTGTTTACAAAACTAAAAATCAACATTTTTATCGATAATCTAAAAGATTGCCTTAAAATGGCTTTAGCCATAGTATTTCACTGAGACTTGCTTGTGCCAAAAGCACTATTGTTATGGCCGGAAGTGTATATATATCACAGCCACAAAGTGAGCAACAGCGTTTTGTGTCCGTCTACTTTTCAGTCCAACTGTCCGTCTGTCCGCTTGTCCGCTTGTCCCTGTCTGTCCGGGCTGTTCTTTTTCTGTTGTCGATTCTCATCATTGTCCATTGGATGTTTATCCGCAAGCGGCGGCCCCTCGATTTCGATTCTCGATTTTCGAATCAGCGCCATAAAAATACAAAACAACTCACACGATTTTCATGAGGCTTTATAAACAAAACAAACAAGTGAAAAACACACGCTGAGGGCAGTTTTTCCTGCCTTCCTTCCAAAGGGAAAAGTGGTGGAATTCAGTTGCAATTAATGCTAATGATCATGTTATACACACTCTATGGCCAAATTCTAGCTTAATATTCATGGGTTTAAAGTGTACACTACTCGTATGTGCCGCATGCACATATCGTATTATTAGCGGCATTATTTATTCACTTCTAATGAGCAGGGGAGAACTTGAACGCTTCTCCCAGAAAACACACACCAGAAGTATTTAAAATGAGTTTCGGCTTTTTTTTATACCAAATTTCCTTCCCTTAGAAAAAAAAACATTACACGCAAGTACAGTAGTTAACTGCCTCGTGGGGGGGTGGTGAAAAATGGAAAATGGGAAAATGGGGAAAAAGGGGGGTGGCGCACACACAGTAGGTCAGGAGTGTTTTGTAAGTAGCGTGTTTTTGTTGTGGTATGAAGTTGCCTGCCTCGGTTAACTTGGCGTATACTTGATATATATACACACACACACATAGTATGTAGTGTAGGGACCTACACGTGTGTGTTGTCGTCGCGCACGCATCGATTTTTCCGTTTTTGGTGTATCACAAACTTCCTTATTGTCGCCGACTTTAAAGGTAGCAAGCCAAGTAATGCTCCTGGATATACATCCATCGAGTTCGACGAAGAAAACCATATCCCTAATAACCATCCCGCCCTCTCAAAACTCTCACCTATTCTCTCATCCTGCGGCCTCGTTGCGCTCTGCCCATAAACATAGTTCCGATTTTTTGGGAAAACCAACAGGAAAACGGGAAAATGCAGGAAAATCGTTGTATTGGGTTTTTTGAAATTGCAGGTTTTTGGATTTAAAAAAAGGGCGAACTAAACGGAGGACTATTATACACTACTACACTACACTCGGTTTCTTTTTTTTTTTTTTTTTGTTGGGGTGGGGGGCCGCCTCCTTCCTCTAATTTTCTTTCTTTCCGGGGAGTTGGCCGTCCGTTCTCTTCGCGCGCACTATTTCCGAACCGTTCGAGGCGATTTTACAAACTGAAAAGGAATCCGAACAAACCGAATCAACACCGATGGAATTTTCACGCTCCGTTCTCTCTGGAGGCATGTTGATATTGTTCCTCATCTCGCACTTAAAACTCAGAACATGCGCAAAGCATGTTCTTTGCGTTTTCTGTCTTTCTTTTGCTCTGACATTCCCTTTGTTGTGGCGCCAAAATGCAACACTGCGTATGAGTGATGATTTCTCGCTTTAAAAATTATCAACCCTTATTTTGAAAAATTTGGAATTGGTTACAACATTAAAATGTCAAGAATTTCGACCCAAAATTATAAAATAACATTCAAATCAGATTCTTAGATTTTTAAACCATAAAACTATAAAGGTATGGCTTTTCGAGATCGAAATTTGAAAAGAGAAAGGGGTTACATCAAAAAAACAAACTTAAAGAGGTAGTCCTTTTCGAAACCGGATTTCTGTTAGAAAAGTTACGGCCTTAGAAGTTCTGGTTTTATAATTATTTAAGAGATTTAGTTGTTATAAATTTAATCTTTGCGCTCCCAGTTTAAAGATTTAATATTAAAAATAATTTTGATTTTAAATTGAGAAATGAAACCATTTTGCATTTTTCTTGAGAATTGTATTTATAAGAGATTTGGGAACGTAAAAACTGAAGTACAGAGCTGTTTAATTGAGTTGCTGAAAAAAGTTTCTTATTTGGTTGGACAGATAGTAAGTACATTTGTAATTAAACTATTTATAAAAATCAAATGCAATTTGCTAAGTGATGAAATGGAGAAATGGTAATGGCAGAAATCAGATGCGTTTTGGTCCTTGCAAAGCGTTATTTGCGTACATAAAGATGAGTATAAAATAATGTAGAGGATCCAATATCCAATATGCAATATGCAATGCCTATGCCTGCTGCTCCTCGTTCCCATCGGACGAGGTGTGCCAAACATGTCCCGTTTCCAGGGCCTGCAATTTCAGCAGCTCTTTTTGGCTGTCCTTGGCTTGCAAGTGGAAAACACTTTGCTAAGAGGAGGAAACAAACATTGATTAATTAAAAGTATTTATTAAAGTGTATCTTAGTATTATACGTAGCCGGTAGTTTAGTTGTGACTTGCAAGTTTAAAATTTGTCAAATTTATGTTGCATATTTTTATAATATAGCTACGTCTTTTAAATTTAAAGTCGTTGCGATAGATAAAAAACTTTGGTAATACTTAAGATTTTTAAGAAAAAGAAAATAATTTATAAATTCCAGTTAAATAGTATTCCTTAAAAAAATTATAGAAAAAACCCATTTTTATGCAGCAATTGGTGCAAAGAATTGAGATTCAATCAAACCCAGACTCACCTTGACCTCCTTGGTGGTCAGCACATCCATCTTGTCGTAGATGATGGCGTGCAGGCCGAGTTCCTTGAGCAGCTTGATGGTGTCCTTGGAGTTGTTGTCGTCGCCCCAGCAGAATAGCACGAGGCCGCGCTCCTTGGCCAGATTCACCTAAAAGCGTCCGTAGCTGAGTGACTCGAGACTGGAGAGTGGATCATCATGTTACCTGACTGGGATCTCGCAGCAGGTCCTCGGTGTGGGCCACCACGCCCAGGAGCTCCATGGCCACGGCATGCCACACGGCCAGTTCCATGGAGTTGCCCCTGGGATCCAAATACTGCTGGTATTTCGTAGTCCTTCCGAGTGTTAGGAACATGACGGGATAACGATTTTGCTTGAATCTCAGTATGGTGCAAATATCCGGGTCGAAACAACTGAGTACCACGCGGCGATTGCCAGCCTTACGCAGGATCACATCCAGTATGCAATCGATGTAGAGATTTCGATCCACCACATGCTCGAATTCCTCCTCCATTTTGCCATCTTCCAGCCTCTGTGACCACTTGATTTCAATGTTGAAACCCACGTGCACGTCGAGGGCATCCAAGACATCGGCTAACTGGGGAAAAGGCTGATGCTCCAGCAGGTCATCGTTGTGAAATGAGCGCGTTTCCCTGGACAAACCCTCTGCTATGTGATAGACCTTAAGCTTTTTCAACTGCTCCAACGTTAACTCCCTCATGGGTAAAGCCAGAAAATCATGCTCCTGCATGCTACACTTGGATTTCAGCGAGACATAGATCATAAAATCATGATAGACCACTGGCACTAGATCTTTGCTGAGTTGAACATCGAATTCCACCATATCGGCACCATGTTCGGCGGCATTCTTCAGGGAGGTAATGGTGTTCTCACGGATCACAGCATCTTTGGCCTTGAAACTGGTGCCCGAACCGCGATGGCCCACATCCAGACCCGTCCACTTGCTATTCCAATACCGGGCATAGCTCACACTCATGTCCATGTGGGCACATTGCGAGGAGGGCTTTACGATGAGATAGCCCAATCGCATCATGCCCAGAGGTCGATGACCCTTGGCACAGGTGATGGGCAGCTCCAGATTCCCCTCCGAACGCTTGAAAAGATTGGGCAGCACATAGTGGTAGCCCAAGTGATTCGGCGGTCCATCTTCTTTGGCCACTCGCGAACTGTAGCTGTACAAATCAATCAAATAGGCGGTGTTCTCAAAGTCTCCCACGGTCAGGTGGAATATAACCAAGTCGCTGGGTCCGCAGGCGGTGCCGAATTGCTCTTGACCTCTGACCTCACACTCGTCGGCACTCAAAGTCACCACCTCGCTGAAGGCAAAGGCTGTGGAGGATTCGCCACCATTCTCCTTGGTGTCATGCGTGTCATTCGACAGGGAATCCTCCAGGGGCGAAAGGGGCGTGGCAGACTCACCACAACCGGCACTCGGAATGCTCAAATTCATGGGCGTGACCTTCACCTGAATGTGCCTCCTCTTCATGCGCTGCTTGAAAGTGAATGGGGCATAGAAGAACTTCAGCTGAACCAGTGTCTCCTTGGTCAGCCATCCACGATCCACCTTCTCCTGGCCATTGATCGATCCGAATATATCCATGTGGGACTTAAGCGGCTGCTCATCCAGTCTCTTGATGGTTCTAGGCTGTAAAAAATAAGGTTTTCTTAGTCTTTATGGTTTTTAAAAAGCAAACAACTGTCAAAACGGTCAAAATCATAGTAGTTTTTTGGCTTATTAAAATAGCAATCAAAAATATATATTTTTTTAATATTTTCTAAAAGCAAAACTATGTTCTTTAAACAAATATAGAAGTTCAAATATCATAGGTTTTAATATTTTTCAAATATTTTAAAATTTAAAACAAAGAAAAGATATTAAAATGAATATATTATGTATGGTATTCCAATGAAAAGTGCAGATGAACGAAGATTTATGGATTTTTCTTAATTTTTTTTTAAATCATGTACTACAGTATATTAAAAATTAAATTTTAAAAAACTAAAACAATAACCATTTTGTTTATTTAAAGAAAACTTGTATGTTCTTGAGCATTTTAAGTTCTTCCACTACTATTTTTTTGGCCGCAGCTGTACAGTTTCTTGACTCTACTCTACTATGGCGTCAGTAGTAAATTGACAATTTGTAAACCTGTAATTGGGTCTCCCAACGGCGGACCATCAGATGCTCGGCACCTGGATCCACGGCACAGACCATGTAACGGTAGTCGGTGTCACAGTGACGCGGAATATAGACCTCGCCTGTCCAGAGATTGCTATCCTCATCATCTGCGTCCTCCTTGGACAGAAGAGCAGCTCCCGAGTGCTGCCAATTGCCCAGAGCCTCACAGTTACCCACAATGGCCAGTTGCTCGTTGGCGGCCAGATCCTGGTTCATCAGAACCCTAAATGTCCACAGTCGATTGGTGGTTATGTCGCCAAAGATCCGGTTGGCGTTTTCCGAGGACGCAGGACATGATGATGGCGCCGCCATCGCATCCTCACCGCCATCGTGCGAAGCCAACCAGTTTTGCATTCTGTCGGGAACAAAATATACAAAATTTTAGAGATATACAATGATATTTGAAATTTATTGTTTCAGGTTCTTACATTTCAAAATGGGATATACAAAATAAGTGACCTTAATGTTAAGGTACCAGAAAAAAAAACAGGTTGTTTAGATAGGCATACAAAAGAATTTAAAACTTACTTATTGGAATAAGTTTTTTAAATTATTTTATCATGTCCTTAAAGTTCAATCAATTTTAATTTTGTTTTACATATTAAATGCTACTCTATCCTGATGACCTTAAAGTTCGTGTCTTGTCTTTTAATTGAAATTTAAAGTTTTGAACACAGCACATTTTAACACATATTAAACAGATGTTTTGCGCAGTGTGCGGCACTTTCAAATGTCAGCATAATGCTTTGCAATTCCTTGAGCTTGTCAATGTGTAATCTGTGAACCTTTGTATTGGCACTTTTATACTTCACGCCATCCAATAGTTTGGCATTAAGATAGGACAGCCATTGTATATTTGTTTTTGGCGAATAAGATGACCAGTTGTTCTTTAATTCACTCCGCATCATTCTGTAGATATCATATTGATAATCGCCTGTGGCTGAAAAAAGTTCCTCATCAGTTGAGAGATCATTAAAGTAGCAGCAGTCATCAATGGTGATTCTTGAAAGCGTATAGTCGATAATAGTAATGGCCACGCCTTTGGAAAGTATAGTAAAATCGGTATTCTTAAGCTTGAAGGATATGTGCTTCTTTTTGGTGGCTCCAATCAATATGTTTCCCCAATGTAGATCCCTGTGCTCAAATTGATACTGTTCTTCGCCAACGGCCAGCGAAAGAATGATCTGTTGCAATGCATAATATGATTGTTCGGCATTTAAGAATTCAAAGTTCGACATGTCGTTGCCGGCAAACTTAAGTTCTAGTACAACGAAAAGTTGTGTGTCTCCAAAAACTCCAGGATGGTCATTCTCAGACTCCTTTTCGTCATCGTATCGCTCCCAAAGCTTGGTCAAATGTTGCGGATACTTTCCCTTAACTAGTGATACCTTGTACAGACCGGCAAATCCATCGGTACAATTATTTTTACCAGCCTCAAGACTGCTCATCTTTTGTGTAATAATTATTTCGGGCAAGATTTGAGCAAAGGTTTTTTGCTCTTCTCCATTGATTTGCATAGAACCTTCGATTGGAATTATCTTCAATACCAAGTCAGTGTTCTTTTTGTCACTTTTCAATTGTTTTGGAGTATATCGAAAGACTTCACCGTAGGCACCTTCGCCTATCTTGTTGGTTTTCAACATTTTAGACTCTGCATATGCATCATTGAATGGCAGCGCTTTGCATTGGTTGCAATATTTTAGAACTTCCTGTTCGAAATTGTTATCTATTTGATTTTGTGGTTTCAAAAACACTGACTTGCGACCCTGACATAAAAGGCTTTTTCTTGACTGCGAAAAAGTGTTGAGGGATTTGCGCCACTTTCCTGGCTTTAAGACAATTGCAGGCTGCAAAGCTTCAACAATCGTATTCAAATTGTTAGTAGAAATGTGTGCATCAGGTGTGGCTTTATTTATATGGTCGATTCGCACTCTTTTCATCAAACGCAACTCCTCATCGTCGCAGTTTTCGTTTCTGAAACCACTTAGTTTTATGCGCGTGATCGGCGACAGTCCGCAATTAAATATTTCCTTTCCCAAACGTTTGTCGCAGGGAGTCGATATAGATTTACTTCTTGAACCATCTTCGATATTCAAATGTTTGTTTTTTAAGTGATTCGATTCTATTATTTCGTGCGTGCTGTTCTCCACACTCGAGTCCATGTTAAACGATGCGCTTACTGTCTTTTTTCTACCTTCTGTATTTGGCAGAAGTGATCGGGAATCGAGTAATTTGTCAAACGAGTCCTTCCATCCATTTTCATCCAAAGTGTTATCCATGTTTTTTGTGTTTCGTGATTGTGCTTCTAATATTTTAAATCTTAGAGCTGGAAACCAATAGATGAAACAAATTACTTAGAAATCAATGTGAATATTACAATTTTTGTGTGTGTGTTTGCTAAGGTGACTGTCAAAATAGTTATCTAAACCTATGTGGTAAACAACCTATGGAATCACTTGTATCGAGCCTTTACTGTACTTAGCAAGTTGATAATTCAATCGAGTGCAAGTAATGAACACATACAATTAATCTAATTTGTTGTTATTGACCTTATCAGTGGGTGACGTAAATTGTTTTTATCACTTACTTTTTGTGTGGGTTGTTGTTGTTGTTGCTCATGAGTTGAACGAAAACAAAAGCCAGATCGCTTTGTTTTGTTTTGGTTTGCTGCTGTTCTCTTCCGTTGCTTCCTCAATGTTCCTCAGTTTTCTTTGATTTCCTTGGATTGCGCAAAACTATAACAAAGAAATGTGCAATTTGCGGGTCATAGCATCTGCTTTTTCTCACGGATTGTAGCTAATAAGCACACGAATTTTCACTGTATGGCGTTGCGGTTGATTAAATATGCAATAGCAGCAGTTGTAGCGGATAATAGTATATATTATCTGGCCGATTTTAGCGCCGCAGGGGCGTCCGATCCGAATTCATAGAGTAGGGAACTATATAGAGTCGCCATTTGCTCTGCCCGCAAATTTCTCGACGCTGGCGTGACGCCGGTGTTTGAACAGTGTGGTGAAGATATCAGCTGTTCGAACATGTGCAAGCGACCAGCAACAGGATGCAACTGCCGTAAGACCTGCATGCGAAAGAAGAGTTCAGCTAGTAAGCGCTAAATTCAAAACATTGAAAGAGTTTTTGCGCTATTTTGTAAAAACAATGACTTCTCTTTTGCTTTTTTTGCCTTTACAAGAACTACATACGACTAAACACCGTTGATATGTCAATAAAAGTCCAAAAAAGCGATTTTTTATGACCTAAAACACAAAAATTTAAGGTTTTTAAACAAAACGTCCAGAGGTATTGTCTCTAAGCCGATGGTAATTCGATGTCTCCATTCTTTTATTGATTTCGCTGCAAAATACCAGTTTATTTACTTTTTATCATTTCACCACACTTCGAACATCCAAGCAGATTCCCAGCAAAGTCCAATTGCTTTTGCTGTTTGACGTGACGTCATGTCGAACCTGAAGCATCTTCTCAATGCTCGACGTCCACCAATACAATCATCCCTCACACCTATTTTTAACTGTGTGAACTCAAAAATATTTCCGATTCCTACTCAGTATCGATAAAATATTCTCTGTTATTCATACAACAGGCTCTTAAAAGGTCGTGTTTCGTATGGCTTTGAGCTGTAATGCTGATTTGAGATATTTTATTGGCATAGAGTAATTATGTTATTGGTTTCATTTGCTTTTTTGAGTTCGATTTTGAAAATGAAACCAGAATTTCGATTTTTAAGACAGGCAAAACTAAATTGCTTAAAAGTATTTAAAAAATATTTATTTTGTATAATACATAATATTTTGTATAATACAATTTGCACTAAAAATATTAAGTAAAAAAAAATTGTAATTTTAAAAAATTAAATATTAATCACTATTGCTATAACAATATATCTTTGCAACAAACTTAATTCCACCATAATAAATTATAAAACGGATTTTTTTTTGTATTTGGTTTTATTAGAAACATTGAAAGTGCAAATGCAAAAGAATAATTATATTATATATTCATCTAGTCTATTAATAGTTATAATTAACATAATTCTTATTATCAAAACACAATACATTTTGCTAACAAAATATTTAAAATTAACTTATCCTTATATTACAAATTATTTAAATTCAGTACAATTTGAATTTAACTCAGACATGAGTGGGTCCTATGTGGACATTGAATTCAGTCCCATGTGCACATTGAGTCAAAAAGTAAAAGACTTTGCTTTCTTACTCAATGCCTATGTGGACATTGAATTCAGTCCCATGTGGATGTTGAATTCGGTCCCAGCCGCTTTCTATGGGAAAACAAGAACAACGTTTTTGTCAACAAAACAAAAAATCATTTGGTCATTTCACTCGCTCTGCCGCATTTCCCATAAGCTGAAAACAGAACAATAAGAGCGAACAGGCCAGCTGCAAAAATTCACCATGGGACCGAATTAAAGGTTCGAATCGAACCGTGAGAGACTGAAATTTTCCCCTTTTTTAGTCTAGGTGGCATCACTGGAAAAGTCACTCGAGAGAGCGGCAGAGCAAATGGCGACTCTATACATTATTACTCTATGTTTTTTTATTTTACAAGGGAAATACGTTAGAGCTGGCAAAACTTCGATGCCTAGGTCGTTCCTATCGATGTTTTCAAAATATCGGTCTTATCGATGTTTGGCAGTGGCTGCCTGTGTTTATCCATCTCTAACAACCATATAATTAACATATGTTAAGTAAACAGATGTTAAGAATTTTAACAGAAAGTGTTCAGGAAATGGTTGGGAACCAGGGTAAGTGTGCAAGATCTTGAGTTAAGGGTGTAAGAACTGGAGTGAAAAGTTAAAATGTTAAGAATTTTAACAGAAAATGTGCAGGAAATGGTGTGGAACCTGGGTAAGTGTGCAAGATCTTGATTTAAGGGTGTAAGAACTGGAGTGAAAAGTTAACAGTGGCAAGAAAATATCGTTTGTCTTATCACTCAGCTTGTGTCAGCTAGCATATATTAAAATTGGCAACTCAGCGCCAAGACAGCTGTTTTTGTTTGCCCTTTTGGCGGGAATTTTCCACCTCCAATTGTTGTTTACAATTTATTATACTTTCTGGTGGACATCCAACCAAAACCCAGGATGGATCAGTATCCCGATGAAAACGAGGAGTTCGAGCTGCAGTACCAAGATGAATTGGAGCTGCTGGAAGATTTACCGGACGAATTTAACCCTTACGATGGTCCCAGCACCTCAAAACAGGCGGCTGAAAAACAAAAGGAAAACCAAGCTCCTTTGGGCTTAAAAGATAATTCCCGCTTTGGAAATTCCACATTGGGATCGCCACAACTATCGCAGATTAGCTTTGGAGCCAGCAGTCAATTGGAGGCAGAAGATGCAGGCGGAGGCCATGTAAATCGGCGACTTTTCGGGACTCCCAAAGGCCCTCCCGCTGGAAGGGGGTGCTCCACGCCCTTCCAGCGAATGCCCGCCATCCAGGAACTGGAACAGACCCAACTCACTTCCAGGGACAAGGATGCCAATACCGCTGCCGAAAAACTCCAGGAAGTTGGCCTTAAAAATGTGAATAAGCGGCGTTTGGAACGCGACCTCTTTGGCGATATAGATGACCTCTTCCACGAGTCCTACGAAGATCCCTTGGTGAAGAAGGCCAGAACCGAGGAGCAACGCGACCATGAAGCCATCGATAAGATCCTCGAACTCCGCCGGAAAATGCGCGAATCCAGTAAAACTTTGCGAAAAGATGATGTTAGTCGGTTAAAGGATTTACATGACTTCAAGATGCGGAACCTCTCCTATGAGATACCAAATTGGCCCTTTTTGGCCATCCAGCGCAGTGATCTGGAGCGGATCTATGTTCGATTCCATTCGGAAGACTACGAGCAAAGGCAGCTGGACATGATCAGTGCCCGTGGCGAAGTGGTGGGCAGTCTTCTGGGCGAGGCCAAGGACAAGATCTGGCAGGAAGCCGGTGAAATAGTGAGTATAACTATTTTAAGTTTTTACTACCAATTGCAATTGTATTTATATATATGCACTTTGAGATCAAAAATTGTTCATTAAAAACAGTTTAATAGTTTATGAAAAAACAAATTAGCATATAGGTTTTTTTTTTTTTATAAACTGCCATTAAAAGTAATTATTAACCCCTTTTTCTCCCTTAGGTTCTAAGCCGCACTGCCAGCGAATCAGATGCAGATGTAACCCTCGTGGCCACAAATTCCACTACCGAACCGGGACGCCTTTGGGTGGACAAGTACAAGCCGCGGAAATACATTGACCTGCTCTCGGATGAAATGACTAACCGGAGTCTGCTCTACTGGCTGAAGATGTGGGACAAAGTGGTATTTGGCAAGGCATTCCATAGCAAACAGGAACATGAGGCGATGGCAGGAGATGGCGGAGGCGGAGGAGGTGGTTCCAATAACCAACTAAATAGCTTCAATAAGCGCACTGGCAAATTCGAATCGAATGGCGGCTGGCGACAGCGCAAATCCCGCCAAGCGCTCAACACAAATGTGGATGCCCTGGGCAGACCCATGCAGAAGGTTGCCCTGCTATGTGGACCTCCAGGTCTGGGCAAGACCACGCTGGCACACACGATCGCCCGGCATGCTGGCTACAATGTCCGGGAGATCAATGCCTCCGACGATCGCAGTCCGGAGGCCTTCAAATTGGCCCTCGAGAATGGCACGCAAATGTCATCGGTGCTGAATGCAGACAAGCGACCCAATTGCATAATTCTAGGTGGGTAATTGTTAATATTTGTAACCATGACTTTGATTTATGTAATTCTACCTACATTATAGTTAAAACTGCAAGCTAGCAGTGAATTTTTAGAGTAGATCTTTAGATCTTTTTTGTAGGGAGTTTGATTGATTTAGTTCATGATTATAGTTTGAAACATTATAAATAAAATACATTTTCATCTTATAATATCTACAAATGACTTATTTCTTTACAGATGAAATTGATGGTGCTCCCCGTCAGTCAATCGAATATCTGGTCAAGTTCATCAGCGATGGAGTTTTCAACAAAGGCAAAGCCAAGGGTGCCAAGGCTGAGCATAATATTTTAAAGCGTCCCATTATCTGCATATGCAATGATGTCTATGATCCCGCACTGCGACCATTGAGACAAGTGGCCTTTGTGGTCACTTTTCCGCCCATCGATGCTGCGCGTCTGGCGGAAAGGTACCTTACAATTAATCCTTTAATATTATACATAATTTAAAATTAAAATTTTTTATTTACCTTGCAGATTGGTTAAGATTGCCTACAGAGAGCAGCTGAAAACTGATTTTGGTTCTCTGATTGCCTTGGCCGAGAAATCAGGCAACGATGTCAGAAGTTGTATATCATCTATGCAGTTTTTCAAGTGAGTAATAACAAGACGTTTATTATTTGTTTACTAATTCAAGCTCCTTTTTTAGTGCCCAAAAACAGTGCCTTACTCTGCAGGATGTGCTCAATAACAATCTAGGACAGAAGGACAGACACCAAGGCCTTTTTGCTGTGTGGGAAGCTATATTCCGAGTAGGTTATGGTTTTCTTCTATAATTTGATGGCTTTTAAATTTAATTGGATTTTTTTATTGTAGATACAACGGCCACGCAAAACTCTCCAGACTGACGCCAATAAGGGCGATGAACCCGCTCAGGTCACAATGACCAATATGTCGGTTAACACACGAGTTCGCAATGTTCTGGATGCCGTCCATTCTAGTGGGGATTACGAAAGGTAAGCTTACTTCGGTGGTAAAATGGTGTATCATGTTTTTTATTTTTAAGTATTCAATGATACCAAGTGATTTTTCCATACAAAATTTTATGTATTTAATTAAATGTGTATTTTTAAAACAAACAATACTATTAATTTAAGATTTTAACTATACATTTTTGAATTCTAAAAGATTAGATGAACTGAAACTATTTTTAAAATTACATTGTACAAAATATATATCAAGGAATATTCAGATATTATTTTTATTTGTTAAAGTCTACCTTTACAAAAATATATATTTGCACTTATAATAATTAAACAAATTAAAGCACCAAAAATAATATTAATTAGTCAGATCTGTTTAGACATAAATTTTAAATAAATATATATTCATTGGTGATATCAGCTTTTGAATTATGCTATTTAATTTAACGTGCCTTGCAAATCAACTAATTAATATGAGTTAATCTTAGCTTTTAATTATTATATTATATTGTATATGATTATTAAATATTTCCTTTGATTCGGCAGGCTAACGCAAGGCGTATATGAGAATTATCTGCAACAGAAGATGCCCGATCCGAACTTTACGGGCGTTTGCGATGCCCTCAAATGGTTTTGCTTCACGGATACGGTGCAGCATCAGATTAGCAGACAGCAGAACTACAGTGTGTACCCGTACCTGCAGTACGGCTTTGTCGTCTGGCACTTGCTGTTTGCCACACTGGCCTGGCCGAAAATTGCATTTCCAACGCGTGGCTTTGAGGTGAGTTTGGGAAAAGTTAAAAAAAAAAGAAAAAAGAAAACGCTTGCAAAACGATGGCGATGACGATGACGATGACAAGATGATGGGCCCCGGGCCACATTATTTCTTTTCATCGCAGCGAAGGCTGCTTCTTTGAGGCAGGCTCATGATTTATGCAGGCGTCATTAGCCGGGGCAAACATCCCCGGCATTTCCATTTCCACAGGCCCTGTGGAAAGTGCATAATCAACACAATCAAGCCATGTAATTTCTTGTCCATTATGTGCCTCAAATGCAATCACAAGATTAATGAGACTCCTGCATAGATTTCGCAGTGTTTACTTTTAAAGGCCAACCCCTTTCTGCACCCTTGCAAAGTTCTTGCATCGCAGTGAAGGAGACAGAACCGTATATAAAGTATATGTGTTCTTGATCATTAGCACTAGGAGTGTCGATCTAGCCATGTCCGTTTGCCTGTCCGTTTATCTATTCGTTGGTCCGTTTTTATGTAAAATAGTCTCTCAGTTTTAAATCTATATGGATACAACTTCTATGCATAAATCGGAACGAGCAGTAACCAATGCAACAACTCAAAAAATAAATGACAAAAATATCAAACTTTTAATTTCTAAACAAACATAGAAATCAAAATAAAGTAATTTCAAAGAATTCCAAATTTTTGTGTAGCTGCATTTTATATTATTTTTATGTTTTTGCAGTTCCAGCAGAAGAGCACCAATCAGAGGAATATTTTTCAGGCGCTGTGCAAAGGGGTCACCACCTCGGCTTTGGGTGTGGGTCAGGGCAAAACTCTGCTCCTCGATACAGTGCCTTTGCTGAAGAGGATTCTGTCACCACAACTGCGCTCCGTGGCGGTGCAGTTGCTGTCTCCAAAGTAAGTGGTCTGGTTTTTTTTATATATAATCCAAAATATCTATAATTCCATTATTAATAAACTTCAGGGAGCAACAGGACTTACGCCACACCATCGAGGTGATGGTTGATCTCGGCCTGACTTTCGTTCAAGTCAAGTCCCAAGAAGGACATTATGTCTTTCAAACCGAACCAGATCTGGATGCACTCAGTACATTTCCAGGTGATTGAAAAATTTATAGAGTTGCAAAGTTCTCAAAAACCATACCTTTAAGGCCTCGAATAGCTTTTCTTTTAAATAACCAAAATGCTTACTTACCCATAAGCAAAATTAAGTTTAAAAAATCGTTTATAATGTTTTATTTTTTCAAGGAAAATGAAATAAGTCCTTAAAATAATTGTTTAATTTTTACAAATACAAAAATGTGTGAAAATAATTATTATTTCTCGTTCTATCTATTTTAGTGTCTGATTTATATATATCATGTATATAACAATAACAATGTATATAACAATGCTGAAAAATAAGTTTCCATATACAAAAATTCTTTTGCACTTTGTATTGGATAGATTTGGATTTTTATTTTAATAACTAAACTATATTTAACATTAAAAATTTAAAAACATTTTTTTATCCAGCCTAAAAAATGTTAAAAATATTTTAAAGTATAATATCTATGAAAAATTTGGATTTTTACATTCCCCAAATTTAATTTATAGTACTGTCTTCATGAAAATATAAAAGCAAATTTCAAAAGTTGCCTGCCAACCCTTTGTGATTGCTTTTTCAATACTACTATTACTTTGTCCGCAACTGTAGATGCAAAACAGACTTAAATCTAATTTATCTTAAAATATATTTTTTATTAGGCTACTCTGGTCTCACGCTCCCCTACTTTAGTCGCCAGTTGATAGCCCGCGAAGTGGACTTGGAACGCATACGACGAGCTGCTCCCAAAGGCGGTGCTCCTTCAGCTCCTTCGGTCGCCAAAAAGAAAACTGCAGGAAGTGCAGCTGCTCAGCTGCCCAATCATTTGCAAACATTGAAGCCGAAACCAATTTCGGAGCCTAATATGCGCAGTGCACCCAAACAGCAGGTGAATCTACTATACACGAGGATTTGCATGCCTTGCATTTACTTAGCAGCAATTTACTTGCAAATTTGGCATCAACCAAACTCAACCAACAAAAAAATTCGACCCGAGTTCATTTTCATCCTCATGCCAAATTGTTTTCCTCTGCCATTTGGCCGAAGCTCTTTTTCTCGTGGCAAATCCTTGAAAAGCTAATAACCCATAAGGGGATTCCAGCGGTATTGTCATCGGAGTCGTAATGTGGGATCAACGCAAACGAACATTTATTGCCCATCTTAAACGAAAGCAGCTTTTGCTTATCTTTATGGGGGTATTTACTTTGTTGTCTCTTTTTCTTTTTCTAGACATAATATTTTTTAAATTTTTGCCCGACTTAAAGAGCTTGTATTAAATTTACTCTGTAGTCTTTAAAATAATTTATTTATCAATGTTTAAATATATTTATCAATATATAAATTGTCTTTTTTTTCAGCTAACCAAGGACTTTTTTGGTCGCATTACCCACAAAACGACTTCAAAAAATTCAACAGAGGAGGGTGAGTCTTTCGAATCTTCTCCTCTAATTATTTTTATTAAACTTGTGTTATTTCCGAAAGCCAAAACCGATGCCATTGTGAAGAGCCCCATTTGGTATCGCTATAAGGAGGGTTTCAACAATGCCGTCCGCAAAGATGTTCACATACACGAACTACTCTAGACAACTTTCATGGGTTTCTCACTTAAGTCAACACCTTTATTTATTAAATAAAAAATGTAGGTGCAACGCATAAACAGAATTATTAAATAATTAAAACTATTTTTTCCATCTTTTTAAGCATTAAGAATTATCACTGGCATTTTATAGCTTTTGTTGTAAGTTTAAAAACATTAAAAACAAAGGGCATATAAACAATTAACTTGGATTTTTATGTAGACAGTTTAGTTGACGTTAACTTGAGATAGTTTGAAACAAGACATTTAAAAGGGAATATTATCTTAATGAGTGGAAAGTAATAGGGTTGAAACATTATAAAGTTTTAGCCTTTTTTGCATTAAGTTTTATCACTGGCATCTTGCAGCTTTTGTATGAGTAGTTACCAACGGTTCTATTTGTGTAAATGTGTAGGATTGTATTGTTGGTTTTGCATTTCTTATCGCGGGTTGCGATGAGTTAAAAAATAAAATTTTTTTAGTAAAGCGAACGTTTTATTTTCATTAATTTTAACAGGTTAATAGATAAAAAGGTTTAGCAACAAGGTTTTTTCTGCATTAGTGGCATCTTGTGACCGCTAACCGTTTGATTTCTTTTATATTATTTATTTGTGTAAATGTGTACCACACACGATTGTATTATAGTTGGCTTTGCATTTCTTATCGCGGCTTTCGATGGGTTAGCTCGGAAGTGTTCCCGATCGCCTCGCTTACTCAGTTGCCCGCCGCCCGTCCAGATGTCTCGACCTAAGCCCGCGTCGGTGGTGCTATCGCCACTGTTGGTGGTGCTCCTACTGCTGATCCACCACTACCACCACCACCACTCTACAGATGCTCGTTCTGTGCCGTCGATACCCAGTGAGTAAGACACACGTATTGGGGTGACACAGAAATAAAAAAAAAAAAACCCTACATAAATCTATGAATTCCGTTTTCATTGCTGTCACAGATATATAAAAAATCCATCCATAAATCTCAAGTTCCATTAAGATAACAAATAAATTTGTATAACTATATTTTTAATTTAAATAACGTGTGTATTTGACAACAAAAAGTGTTGCTAAGTCGCGATTTCATTAATGAAACCCAAACAAAATATGTTTAATTCTGATTACACATGAAAGCCAACAACAAATTTGTTTAATTCTGATTACAAACAAAAATGAAATAGCTTTTTCTTTGTTCTCTGAAATGCAGCAGCAGTTTTGTGCCAGACATTTGGCTAGATTACTAATTGAAATAAATAGGTTCAAGCAGATAACTTAGTGAAAACAGAGCTCTAAAATTCGTCATTTGTAGTTCGAAAAAAGTATAACAATACTGACATTTAAATATATAAACAAACTAAGTAAAAAAAGCTTTTTACCCTTAAAAATGCTTTAAGTTTTTGTGTTATTTTCTTAAAATTAAATGCACACTGAGACTAAAACCCTATTCACTCGGTAATTTCGCCTGAAATACTCTATCCACTCGGTCATTATAACATGTTTCCTTCCATTTTATCATTAGGTATTTGTAACAAACCGCCGCCACGTTCCGAGGGCATTTGCACAATCGAGTTCGAAGGCTACTTCTTCGATCCGGCCCTTCTGGATTGCAGGATGTACTTGGTGGGGGCGTGCCACTCGACTCCGGGCCAGAGCTTCGGTAGCCTGCAGGATTGCGTTTCCACCTGTGTCCTTGGCAACCGGCGAAATCATGACTTGTATGTGAACGAATAATAACATAAATAAATACTGTAAACAAAAATGTACCAGTGAATGAATGAGTGAGTTTTTAATTTGGTGAGAGTTGTTCGATTCAAACAGCAAACAAATTGCGTCGAAATGCCTAATCTCCGCTGGATGTCAATCATCCGCCCCGTTGACCTGTGACGTAATTGTTATTTTTATGTCGCACTATCGAAACGTGCGGGAAATCTGTGTGTGTGTGTGTGTGTGTGGGTAATTAAAGTAACTTAGTTGAACATTGAATCGAGGCTTATGTTAGCATACTCTGGCTATGCCCTACTTAAGAATGAGTCTTTTAGGTTAGTCACAGAGTTAGAAAGCTGGCAAAATTTGTACTACATTAACGTATGATAAATAATAATTTTATGTTTAACATTTTTAAGTTGGCTTATAAATATTTACACATATCTAATTGCTTCTTATTTCTGACGTGTCATAAAGATATAAATGATTGCCTATTTTAAATCAAATCACACTTTTCGGATCCTTTTTAGGTGAAAATTTAAATAATTGACTATTTTAGATCACTCAAAAAGTGGTAAATATAAAACTGTTTTTTGGAACCTTTTAAGTAAAACTATAAATATTTAACGATTTTAAGTCTCTCGAAAAGTGATAAAAAATAAAATGGTCAAGACACCATTTATAAGTTGTTTTAAACTATTAATTATACATATTAATTTTGATATAACCCTGTCGTTTTATTTATATGCCCTTCATATTATAATGGTAGCGAGTTTCGCCTCATTTTTTCACTCCAATTAATTGACATTGAAATAGATTCTGTGATTGATAAAGTTAGACAATTTTCCCAGGGCATTCGCTGTTCGTTGCGTATACGTCACGTTGGCCTTATCAGTCGTGCACCTCACTTCGCTTCTTCTGGCCTTCTGCAACAGGCACTCGCCGGTTTTCGCCGGAATCGATACGAGAGCAGAGTCAACCCCAGTATGATCAGCATACACACGGGCGAGGCATCTCCATCATCATCGATCGCAATAGCAAAATTCGCAACGAGACAACGTAAAGTCCAAATTTCGATGTCGCTTTGAAGTCTTATCAATTTGTACACAGAGAGATCTAAAAATTAGTTAATGCTTTAAAACATATTTCAAAAAATAGTTTACTTCTTATAACTTTACTTTCAAAGAAAGTTTATAAATAAAATTAGTGTTGAATAATTATAAAAAACAATTTAAAATACAAATGTTTGAAATAATTCAGAATGAAGTTTATTTTCTAAAAACATAAATTTCAAAGAAAACCTCTGGGGAAAAATATTTTTTTTAATAGTGGTGTTTGATTTTTTTTTTTAATAAAATTTGTATCTTTGCACTTATGATACAACATTGAGTTTTTATTATAATATTGAATAACTAAATGTAAACGTTTTTGAGTTGAAAATTTTGTATAAAATTTCCTTTCCCTAGAAGCACTAGGTTTTTTTTCCTCTGTGTAGAATTTTTTCTCTCAGCAGAATCCGAATCAGCAGCAGAGCTGTTGGCAGAGGCAGCCCGATTAAAATGATGTGCCTGGGATGCCTTTTGTTCGAGGTTTCAAGTCGAGTTCGCGACTCGCCGTTTAGTCAGTGACCAAGTGTGTGGTGAACCAAATCCATTTCTTTCTGCCATTAATAATTTTCAAAAAACTGCGCAGACAAAGTCCACAAAAAGGAGCATTCCCTATCTGCATTCCGAATTGAAAACTGCTGCAGTAATAACTTTTTTTTCGGCCGGGCACTTGCACTCTAGATGAACTTAGCAGAGTGCGACGAGTATAAGAAACCCATAAAATTCAACGGAATAAAGAAATAAATAAATACGAAAAGGCAGACAGATCGGCCGATCACCTATATACTAGAGGCTTTCCATTACTGTGGAATCGGACAAATATATATGGCGACGAGCGGCTGCTGCGCATTTGTGTTTGTCCTGATCGAGATTGACATCATCGGTGCCAGGGAGCAAAACAGAGCTGCAATACAGAGCTGACTAGCTTGAATAGGTTTCCAAGCAGAAATCTAAGAATTTCCATCGTTTCACAAATCTATCAAAAATATTCCCAAAATGGCTCACCACAGTCCGTTGAGAATAACAGTGTGGCTTTGTGTGATATTGGCCATGATCCTGGATCAGCAATCGCCTGCAGAGGCACGAGTGCGTAAGTATTCAAAAAATCTTAGAAATAATAAATAATATATTAATGCGGCTTTTAAGAACTTCAAACAATAATCTGATTATAAAACTCTGTTTTTAAAGGTGTTTAAACTATAATTCAATTCAATTTGAATTCATAAGTTGAAATACCAATTTGTCTGTTAAGAAAATATTTTTAATATAATTATAAATTACTTAAATATTTTTTAATTACTTAAATCATTTTTTGGACAATACTAATTTGTGACTTCGTATTTCAGGTGACCTATGCCAGGTAGTGCCGAGCACAAATGGAGTGTGTATGCCCACCACCGTGGGTATCTATTACGATCCCGAAACGCAGCGTTGTCAGTACAAGGGCTGCAGCAACAAACGGCTCTTCAGTTCTTTGGAGGACTGCGACAAGATTTGCAACAATCCGCGGCACGTGAAGCGGCGCAATCAAGCCAAGGCCAATGAAACCTCACATTAGCTACATCAGATAATTAAATTAATTATAAGTGTGTTTCGTTCAGTGGAAAAATATCAGACTGAATATGAAATGCTTATGCCTAAAAAAATAAATATAAGATGTTTAGTTACATTCCCAACATAACTTTTGTAAATTTACAAATCATGTAACTAAATTTTGTTTTTAATTATATTTAGTAGTTAATACTAAAGATTTTTTATAGGAAATATAATTTTGTAAATAAAAATCAAATTTTAAAATATAGGATTAAATCCACTTCTCTTTAACAAAATCAATAGCTTATTAAGCACTATATTCATTACAATATTTCAATCAAAAAAAAAAAAAGATTTAAATGTTTTTGTTACTTTAAAGTACCTCAATTCATATACAAAAATAAAATACAAATGTTTAAGTTTATATTAAATTTATCTAATACAAATCTAAGATGTTAATTTAATAATACAACATTGAATTTATAATATCATAATATTATTATTTATTTATTCAAACGATTGTTGATTAGGGTTAAGGAATTGACATTGTTAAATATCGCGGCAGTTCAGTTCACACTCGGCTTTGGAGCCAAATCGGTTGTCATTTCCACCACAACCGCCGTAGATAAATGGTTCGCAATGACGTTTAATGGGATTGTAGGCGTAGCTCTCCACAAATCCAAAGCACCTTCCACTAATCATCGGTTGTAGGCATAATTTCACTGTACAGATATCACTGATTAGTAAAGAATTTAAGTATATCTGAGGAAATACCTCTTTTGGAGACCGCCATTGTTTGGTTTGGAATCAGCAGGAGGAAAAGGCTGAGGAGAAGCCACTGCCAAATAGCCGGCATCATGACATTTGGAGGCAATCCACCAAGTCAGTCAGTCATCTACATTCACCGATGATCAACCGTCACGTTCTTGGGCCAACAACTCACTGAACCAGGCTCTCTCAGCATTGATTTCTTTGTTTACAAATGCCTTCAAATGCTCATACCCGTTTTTTGTTTGGTTTTTTGCCAATATTCAACATTGACCAAGTTAGCAGTTAAGTGGGAATTGTTCAGGCCAAACCAGCATGGGAGTTACCTACTATTTAACTTTGTTAAGTATCCAAATTATGTTTCAGAGATTATACAACAAATTGGGATACCAAATATTATAAAAATATCTATAATATCTCTGAGATAATTAGATATGTAGTCTTAAGGTTTTGTGTAAGCGATTATTCTAACGTATAAGATAGCAAAGTAGTTTTAATATCTAAAATTTTAATTTTGTTTTTTATCTAATAAAAATAGTTTTAACATTTTTGTCATTTTAAAAATTTTAACAATCAAAAATACTACTTAGAGCTGATCACGATCTCTGAAAACAAGACGTGATGGATGGGAAAAGTGAACCTCCCCATCGCGCACCCTACACTCGCTCTCATAAAAAACAACGCTCGCGGAGATGACGTAAAAAACACTTGGCAGAAGGCAACAAAAACATGTTCCGCATATCAATTATGGCAACAACAACAAGCGGCTCAGTCAATACTTAAAAAAATCAAGTACCTCTGTGTGTGTTTGTGTGTGTGTATGTGTGACAAGCAGAAACGAGATTTCAATTTCAATTTAAGTTTCGCTTTCAATTTACTAGGCAATTTATAAGCCGCTTATTACTCAGATGATGCTTTTTCGAAAAGTATTTTTCAAAATACAGAGATTTTTTTAAAAAGATACTGATTGCATCAAAAACTAGGGTTGACTTATATTGTTAATTTCGGGCCATACTTATACATTAAAAAAAATACACATTGTATTTATTGAAACTAGCTGTTAGATATTTAATTTTGTTGTGCCAGGGTAATATAAAAATGATAACTTATAACGAGCATTGTTTGCAGTCGCTCCTGTTTTCAAAGAACTTTCCCTGAGTTTCACAGCCTTTGAGTTTCAACGCAAAGCAACTTTTCTTCGAAGTACTATACATAAATCCATTGATCACCTTGTCACAAGACCCTGAGGTACCGCCCTTTTGAGAACAACGAACTATATTTAAAATATATAAAATACATTTAAAATACTGAATAATGTTTGATATTTTCAGCACTTACGATTCGTTCCAATGACATCATGAAGTATGATTACAAACAAACAGATCAAATAGAATATATTCATTTTGTCTTGTTTCTCTAAGTTTAGTCTACCAACTGACTGTTCTCAAGTCAAGACACTCAGAAATAATACTAATTTAATAACTGAGACTAATGTCATTTTTCCTGGCTCCATTAGTAAGTGGCATAAAATGTTAAGGTTCAGACATTAATTGTTTTCCCTTACGATTTTCTGCTATGTTTTAATATTTCATTAATTTTCCATTGTTAATTTTGATTTTCCCCAAATTTTCTGTGACGCTGCACTACCAACTCGACCCACTAGTTTTGCAATTAAACGCTGCTGTGAGAACGAGGGACAATTAACGTCTGGCGCTCAATTATTTCAAGCAAATTAAACAGTTAACTGAATTGTCACCCCCGCATTTCCGCACACCTCACATTTTGGCCATTCAATCAAGCCCGAAATGTTCGACCCTCTCATGTGTTGGCGACAGCTAATGAATAAATAGCACGGCAGTTTGACAGTGCCCCGAACTCCTCGAGTTCCTCGGCATCGGAATTATCGTTACATCATCATCGTTGAGCGATAATTCAATTTGCACTACGTATTAACACCTGGCATAGCATCGTTTCAATTTCTGCTTCTGTTGTTGACCATCTTGTCTTGTCCAGCATTTTGGCCCTAATGTGGCTCTAATTATCGCCCTTGCCCTGAGTTTTAGTCCTTGCCGACTTTAGTCCCCCTCTCAGCACACAATGCAACATTAATGAGCCCCACAAGTGCCATACTCGTACAAAATAATCATATCCTTGGCCCTGACACTCGCATTTATTATGCAAATTGTTTGCAGTTTATGGCTCCGTTCAGATTGACTCATGGGCAGGTGAAGTTTTAGTAAGTAAAAGGATGAAATGTATTTTGAGCAGACTAATATGATATTTTCATATATAACTACATATATTTTATTTTGTTGACTGCGATAACTGCGTATCTAGTTTATTCGATCATTATTTCAATTAAGTTCTAAGCACTCAGTACTTTAATTAAATTTCTAAAGCATATATATTACAAGTCCAAAAGAAATTGATTATTCTGTTTTTTACAAACCAACCAATTTCTTTTAATTTTATTTATTAATAAATATCAAAATGCTACTCGTAGAGACTTATAATGGCTTCAAAAATAATATTTCAAAAATTAACTAAGGAAACGCAAATTGTATAATTGTTTGCCTTAGCATTTGTAGATAACTGAGTTAAGATATTAACACATAAGCTCATCTTGTTTTTTCAAATCTTTTTATTTTTAAAAACTATATTTTGCATTTTGCCTCACAGTCCTCTTTGTTTGTGAAATGATTTCCATCTAGTAGGCAGCCATGCCAGAATACGCATTCATTCCTATCTGCCATATAGGAATATAGCATTGTTAATTCAAAACATGTTCCTTGGACAAACGGTGAGAGTTCGCAACTTCCTAAGTAATTTATGTTTTGCTTAATAGGCTCATTATTAAATGAAGTACTCACTGTCTCTTAAGCCCTGCACTAAGCCTAACAATGCAACTATCAGACCAATTGCTTTCATTCTAGAAGAAAATATAACTGATGCTGAGGTGAAGCGAAGTATACATTTTATGCTTCTAATTTAAAATTAATTAAATTAGTTTCAGCAAAGCTTAACGTTCGTTTGACAAATGGCAAATTGATTCATAATTTAATTCTATTATTTCTTATCTATATACGTAATAATTACTTAGCTTTCAAAGAAAATAATAAGATGCTTAACGTTTTTAAATATGATTATATTGTTTGTCCCCACGTTTTATTTACAATAATCACTCAGTTTTGAAGTAATTTGCTCTATAAGTTCCGAAACTCCTTACAAATTTTCGTTTTAATTACTCATTACTTTCTTAAAATGCTTTGTTCGTTGTTTTATTTTGTGACTTTAATTTCTTACAAACTATTCAGGCACTACTAATGGGTTTTTTTAAATTTCTTGAAATTTTAATAAGTCCGATAATAAATGATTTATGATCTGGGATCAGCAAAGCTAAGAATCAGAGATAGCTTTAGTGAAAATTTGAAAAATAAACAAAACTCATGCATATTCATTTCGATGATAGAATAATAAAGTATGAAAGAAAATGGGATTGGCCAAAAAAACTGAACACAAAATCTGAAATAAAAAAATTGTATTCATATTGAGCTACCAATATTTTAACTACGATTTTCATCAGATTTGAAACAAGTAAGTTTCAGGTTTTTTACTACAAAAGAATCTTTAGTACATTGCGAATTAATTTAACAACATCCGTAACCAACACAGTTTAGTTTTAGTTCATTATAAATATTTTAATCCACTGGTGTTAATGGTGTTAAGAAATTTCCTTTCGAACCTGTATTTTTGTGGCCACCTATATTTTAAAACCTTATAATAGATCTTTTAACATTCCCTTTTATGCGTATAATAAAAAATCATTTGATGTTTGATAAGACACTTTATGTTCGTAATACCAAGTCGAAAAACTAAAATTTTAATTCAAAATAAGTTTTCTAGACCAATAGAAGTCTTTATTTTAATAAATGATTGCGGATATGTTGAAAGCTTTCTCACGACACAAAAGAATGTTTAAATTTTGATTATGTTCAGGTTTATTAAACATGAAAGCTTTTACAATCCAAGGATGCAAGAATATTTACAAAATTACTCCTTGCACTTGGCCTCACACTCTTGTTTAGTACTAAACCTATTTGCATTGCCACCGCATCCACCATAAATAAATTTCGAACACGTATTAGTAGACGAAAAGTATGTGAACGATGGCATATATGCAAAGCAAATCATTCCTCCAAAACCATTGGCAGCTGGCATTAGTCCGCAAACAGCTGAAAAAAGCAGACATTTTATTTAACCAAAAAAAGGGTTAATTGACTTTAGTTACGATCTTTTAATCCGGTAACAAGGTCACCTAGGACCAAGATTAAAAATATGGAGACAACTGCCTTTATTTGGTTCATATTTCAGTCACCAAGAATTCAACTTTACTCTCCAACGGCTTCGAAATAAGTGAAGAGCTATAATTTTTTTCCTATATTAAGAAAGCTTAGGGCATTGCGAATTCATTCAAGAACATCCAAAACCATGTCGAAAAACTAAAATTTTTCCAGACAAAGGATCACTTTCTTTAGATTAAAGAGTCTGAATATGATGCAGGTTTTTGGTCAATTTTCTGCAAAGACGATTTTTTCGGAAATTAAGAAAATCGACCCGAAATTACAAACCAAGCTTTAAACGCAGATTTTTAGAGCACTTAGCCACAAGAGTTTTAAGATATACCACTTCGAGCTCGGATTCTTAAAAAAAAAGTTATAGGTTTAAAACTGCAGGTTTTTGGTGATTATTTGGAATGATATTTTTTGGAAATTATATAAGTGTTTATATCGTAAATTTAACAACTCAATATTTCAAAAGCAGATTCCTAGAGACTAAAGCTACAAGTATTTAAAGATATACCTCATCGAAATCGGATGCCGGAAAGAAAAGTTATGAATTTAGAACTGCAGCTTTTTGGTCACTTTTAATTTAACAACATCCGTAACCAACACAATTTATTTCTTACACAACCGGGAACAGGCCACTTTTATTAATTTTTTTTTTCTTTTGTATTAGGCAAGTTTTAGTTCAATTTAAATTTTTCACGACACAAAACAATGTTTAAATTTTGATTATGTTCAGGTTTATTAAACATGAAAGCTTTTACAATCCAAGGATGCAAGAATATTTAAAAAATTACCCCTTGCACTTGGCCTCACACTCTTGTTTAGTACTAAACCTATTTGCATTGCCACCGCATCCACCATAAATAAATGTCTCACACATATTAGTAGACGAAAAGTATGTGAACGATGGCTTATATTTTAAGCAAGACATTCCTCCAAAACCATTGGCAGCTGGCACCAGTCCGCAAACAGCTGAAAAAAGCAGACATTTTATTTAACCAAAGAAAGGGTTAATAGGATTTAGTTACGATCTTTTGATCCGGTAACAAGGTCACCTAGGACCAAGATTAAAAATATGGAGACAACTGCCTTTATTTGGTTCATATTTCAGTCACCAGGAATTCAACTTTACTCTCCAACGGCTTCGAAATAAGTGAAGAGCTATAATTTTTTTCCTATATTAAGAAAGTTTAGGGTATTGCGAATTAATTTAAGAACATCCGTAAATAATGCAATCTTTTTTTTTTTGTTTATAAGGCTTATATAGAAAGTCTTATCGTGTTGGCAAAACCAAGTCGAAAAGCTAAAAATATTCCGGACAAAGAGAAAACTTTCATTAGATTAAAGGGGGTGAATACGATGAAAGTTTTTTTTTAGTTAAAAATCCAAATATAAATTCCAAACATTCATTTTTTTCCGAATAGTACGTGTGGCTTCAGATTGGATTGATGGGATTTTCTTACGATGCTTAAGTCCGGTAACAAGGCCAACTAGGAACATGATTAAATAAAATGAGGAAAATGCCTTAGTTATATTTATTTTTGAGCTACCTGTGTTTTAACATTAGATTCTAACGGATTCGAAATAAGTGAAGAGTTAATTCTTTTGCTATGTAACAGATTTTAAGGGCATTGCGAATTGCTTAATACAATTGACTATACAACAAGGTCTTTATTATTCCGTTTTTAGGCATGGTAAATGCTCACTTTAACAACAACATAAATCTGTTAATCCACAAACATAAAGGCGTTAAAAAATTACTTTTTGCACTCAGCTTCACAAAGTGCTTTAGTTTCGAACCTATTTTCGTTTCCTCCACAACCGCCATAAGAGAACTCTAAACATTCTTTTTTGTCGGGATAATAGGAAAACATATTCGTGTAATCTGCGCATGACGTAAGTCCAAAGCCATCGGCAGCAGGCGTATGTTCACAGATGTCTGAAATGTATTATTATTATTAAGATTTAACAAAAGTTCGGGTTTTTAAGTTGTTTTTTCAAGCCTACCATCTGTTGATCCCATAGTCAGGTCAGCTAGTATTATTACTAAACAATATGTAGTTAGAACCCTCATGTCCTTTTTAACAAATATATTTTTAAGCCCGAATCGATTGATGATTTTCACTTAGTAAGATTTGCCACTGCGAATCCACCTAATTCATAATGAACCGCTTTAAGTTCTGTTACAAATCTGAAATAATATAAGGTTTTTTATTTATACAAAAAGAGAACCGTTTAAGTTTGATTTTAGTTTTTCAAATGTTATTATAAAATAAATAAAGCTCAATATATGTTTTATATCTCTCATCAGATTTAGGTTAATTTATTTTTTATTATATTTTTACAATTGATTTAAAGGTGTTTGTGTGCATTTACTTATTTGTATTTTTATTGGACTTCAATCTTACCATCTTATCTAAGACTAAGTATAAATGTTTATATTTATGTGAGATCTGTTTGCTTGTAAATCATTAATAATCTCAATCGCCCGCGTTCAACGCGTCGTATGCGCAATTTGAGTTAAAAACTCATACATGGATGGGCAGAGAGAGACTTAATTGAAACTCAACTCAGTGGCTCAAAAAGAGCATATAGAACATGAATATAGAACATTCGGCTCACAGTTCAGTTCACAGTCGTTGCTTTTAACGTTCAGTTATCAAATTCCACACAGAAAATGCTACTACGGATGACCCAGTTTCTCTGCCTCGGCGCACTTTTATTGCTAAGTGTTTTGCAATTTACGCAGGCAGTCCCCAACAATAATAACAATAATAATAATATTAAACCGAAGGCTGTGGCTCAGGTGCAGCCAGGAATTCCAGCAGTAAATAAGCCTTCAGTTACGACAACAACAATTAAACCGCAGAGATTAATACCAGGTTGGCTAAAATGATCTCTTAAACGAAGATATCCGTTATCTTTAAAACTAAGTTCTTACTTTTGGGCAATTATAGTATTCCCAAAGCTTAAAATAAAACGATTTCTTAAGCAATCAATAACTTAAAATTAAGAATATCGGTTTATTGTTATGTGTGCAATATTTGCGAAGTTTTTGGTTTAAAGTTAAACTTTATTTTCCAGATCCCAAATGCCTGCAGCCCTTGGAAGTGGGTCCTTGTCGCATGAATTTGGAGAGGTTCTACTACAACAAGGATAAAAAGGTCTGCGAGACCTTCAAATACGGTGGCTGTCGAGGCAATGACAATCGCTGGGGATTCCGGCAGACTTGCGAGGAGGCCTGTCTCCCAAAAAAGTGATTAATTGATGGTAACCGCTATATAGGAGATTATTTTGGTTATTGTTATGATTGTATTCTTGTTTTGGGGAAACGCATTTATAAACAAGTTTCCCTTAATTAAAAATATAAGTTCTTGAAAATTACATTGTTAATCCAGTATGTTCTTAAACTAATAACATATTAAAATGCGTTCGTCAAATTAAATAGACGTAAAAACCATTTTGGAAAAAAATAGTTAGTTTTGTTGATTTATAAAGCCATCATTTTTTAAAAGGGTATTTGTTCTTTGAATTTGATCTTAACTTTGAAATTGTTTCGGCTCTAGGGAACTAGAAACTTAGCCAAAATGAGATTATGTTGATTAACAACAATAAAATGACAAGGTATATACTTGGTTATCTAATTAGCACCATAGTGAAAATTATTAGGTTATTAGATTCACATATGTAAGCCATTAAGAAAATGTAGAGAAATTATTAAATATTTTTAGCCAACAAGTGAAAGCTATGTAATGTATTTGCAGAGATGTAACATTACAAAATTTAATCAGTGATGGCTAAGCTATATAGATTATTGGCAATAATTATATTTATATTTTAGACACTTATTTCTACAGGTATAAACAAAATAATTTAATTAGTAATAGCTAAGCTATCCAGTTTATTGCCAATTCCACCTTCTAAACGTGATGGGGTTACCAAATACTATCGCTGCGATCCGGAAACAATTTGTAATATGATTTAATGGACAGCATTATGAAATGGCTGGTGCGTTGAACTGCAACCGAAGGTTGGGCTTCTCGAGAGCTGTCAGTACCTGGTTTACCAGGTGATATAGACGTCAGAGAGGCTTCGCAGTGATTTACATGCGACGTCGAATCAGTTGGACAAACATACTGCCGCTCCGATAAATATGTCAAAAACGGTGTGGGCAAAAAACCCGAGTGACTACGTGAGTGGATCACTTCGAACGGATAGTATTTAAGCCTCACTACTCGCTGAATTTGAAATCATTCGCAGCCACTCAACGGAATCAATATGTGCTACAGATATAGCTTCAGTTTTGTTTTAATCGCTGTTCTGCTTTTGGCAGCCGGAATTCACGGAGCTCCCTCGGATATTGTGGTGGAAAAGGCGGAGGATCCGAATGCCCCGCAAACCGTGCCAGATGGTGACTCCAAAGTTCCGGAGGATTGCCACCAGCCGAAGGAAACTGGTCGCTGTTTTGCCCTTTTCTATCGATTTGCCTACAATGTGGATACCCAATCTTGCGAGGAATTCGTCTACGGTGGTTGTGCCGGCAATAAGAACAATTTCGAGTCCAAGGAGCATTGCGAACAGGCCTGCCTGGGAAAGTCTGTAAATCCTAGCTCGGAAACCACCACTGAACAAAGCAGCGAAGTGACCACCGAATCGAGCACTACTGCTTAAATGAAATTATGTTTTTAGAACGTAACGCCTAGAATTAAATTACCCAGCTGATTATTTTAATAAATTTGACTTAAAACAATACGAACAAAATGGCTTTTAAATTTCTATATTATCACAGAGATCGAATATATATTTATGGAATCAAATATTTGGTATTTTAAATTCGAATAAATATAAGAATTATGAGCCTTTCACAATTTATACATCTGCAGTTAAAGCCAACTATTAAACACATTTTAGACTTAAATAAGACTTATTATGTAAGCAAAAACATACACTTTTAAGTCCATAGGTTTTTTAAATGAAAATGCTGGTGGATTCATTCTGTAAAAATTTGAGTTTAAATCTTTGGGTCTACAAATTTGGGTAATTTTTTTTTAAATTAATGATTAAACCATTTTTAATTTCCAATAAATAGATTTAGAAGACTTGGATTTAATAGCATATCTGCTTCAATTCTCGAACTACATATATTTTTTCAAAAATAGATTCATCCATTTTTAACTATTAATACATTTTCGATGGCAAGAATAAGGAATATTTCCGCATCACCAAACAAGGCTTTGTCAAATTTACTTTTCTTAGAACGTACCAAAGTAAATAGGTTTGTTTGTGACCCCAAATTTATTTTTAACACAAATACAACGCACTCAAAGTCTAGTCTGTTTATTTATCAATTTCACGAGCACTTGTTAATGAACCGTAAGTTCATGAGCACATCGATAAGATCCCAAGACGATTTTTAGTTCCCTCTGTCGACGGGGAGTATAGTATATAACCCAGTGCTAGACCTCCGATTGGCATTAGTCGTTCCACACAAGCTGGAGAAGATTGTTTGCTAAATCACCACTACAATCAGTATGAAGTTCATTGCTGTTGTCTGCTTGATTTTTGCCTTGATGGGCATTACTTTGGCACTTAAGGATCGTAAGTGAAGTAATCCTGTAGAAGTTAAAACATTTCTAATTGTAATATCTTTTATTAGCCGTTTGTGGCCTACCTCCTGCTGCCGATGGCAATGGTCTCATCAAGTGCGCCGCCCATATGCCCAGTTTCAGCTACCATGTCGATACCAATTCCTGCCAGGACTTCCTCTACGGCGGCTGCGGAGGAAATTCCAACCGATTTGGAAACAAGGAGGAATGCGAACAAAAGTGCAAGGAATAATATTTCAAGACCCTATGAGACATTACAAAAAAATATATATATTAATTACTTTGAATGAACTTCATGTGTATTTCAAATTTATTTAAACAACTCTTGAGGAAAAAAGACCTAAAAATATAAAAGTATAATTTTCACTTCAAACAAGCAAAGGTTTTTATTTTGCATAATAAAACTACGATACTTCAAAAATATATGTCAAGCTTTCCAAAAACGCTTCAAATTTTTTCTAATTTATTTAATATTTTATATTTTTTTTTAAAATGTTTGGCTGATAGACAAATTAAATATTTATCATTACAGTAAATCTATTTTTTTTAAAAGCTGAAAAGTTTTTGGTTATGTATTTTTATTTGACATATTTCTTGAATTTTGCTTGTTTTTATAAAAACAGATTTATCAAACTTTATAATAACATTTTTATACCTATAATAACATTTTTTTTGCCTACATAATAACATTTTAATACACTTATCAAAATCAGTTTTGGTTTGTTTTGTATTGAGATATAATTCTAATAAAAGTTTAATTTTTATTTTTTATTTGGCTCCATATTAAATAAAGAATTAATTAAACACAAAACGTTGTTAACGTAACAGATTCAGCAATTACTTTTTTTTTTTTTTTGCTTTAAAGCAAAGTGTAATTTACTGAAGCAAATAAGTGAATAGAAAAAGTAATACATTAAATTACAGTTTCTGCTAGCTATAATTATTGATGGAAAAATTGAAGTGTTTCAATGAATAATTAAACCAGGTTGATAAAGGCAAATCTTTGATGACTATATTTCACCTTATTCTTCCTTTACTTGTAAATTACACAATTATTACTATTTCAGTGATTCAAACTACATTTGTAATATTTTGTAAATCATTTTTCGTCATTGCTTGTTGTAATTAATGTGAATTGTACCATTTTCCTTATCGATAAGGAAGCCAGTTCATTATTACAACACTGTTTCAACACTTATTGACACGCTTTGTTTGTCGTGCTCATTGTTTATTTCATACTGTATGATAATTATAATGTGAAGTACCTACTAATTTGCGGGGGCTTTCCCTTTCTGGCGGATGGTAAACAAAGTGAGTTCTGGGAAGCCGACGAAAGTAAACACTTTGGCAAAAATATTTACACAAATCGGTGCGAAATCTTGTGGAGATTTCCCAGTTATATTTAAGCTTGATTTGTTTGTCGAATAATCACAATGTTTAATGGGCTTGGGCGATGGCTATGTATATATATATATATATATATATATATATATATATATATTTATGTTTTCTTTTATGAGCATAAACAGATTTGCGAGCACAATCTGCTTTGGGTCACATTTTTTATTCTTATCTGTCTTCTTTTCGGTGTACAATTTAAAGAGTCAGAGTTCCACCGACCTGGTAGATTAGACATTTTCCCAAATTTCAGCTACTCTATAAGACGATGAAGTGTCCAGTGTCTGGATATTTCAGTGATAGACCCCAGAGTGGTTTTACGTTAACTGGGAGAGATTGTTTTCAAAAAAATCGCAATCAGTATGAAGTTGCTTGCTACTGTCTGTTTAATATTTGCCCTGTTTTTCGGGGCCTTGGGCCTTACAAATTGTAAGTTATCTAATACTACATAATACCAAATGAATCTAATTATATTCCTATTTTGTAAAGCTGTTTGTAATCAGTAACCTGGAGGCTATGTCAATACTAATATAAATTGCGCCGGCTATATGCCTAGATTCACCTACTATGCCGAAAGCAATTCGTGCCAGGTGTATATCTACAATGGCTGCTTTGGGAATGACAACAGATTTAGATCCTTAGAGGAATGCGAAAAAACATGCAAAAGGAAAAGCAATGATTTTAACCAATGGTAAAATCTATAAAAATGTTTTTTAACGGAAACTCCAATTAATTTTGATTTAATAAACATGTAAAACACATGTTTGTGTTTGTTTATTTGTTTAGTTTATATTTTAATTGAGCGATTCAGCTTAATTTGTCGATTAATCAAAATGTTTTGTAATTCACAGCAATAAGCTTAAAGTGAATTACAATGGAACGGGTATAAAATACTTCGCACCAGTCATTTCAGGTTCAGTTTGAATTGTTCAACGCCAGCTGAAGGTTCTAGGTAGCAAACTACAATATTACTATATTATATACTTTACAATGAAGCTGCTAGTCTTAATCGTTTGTATCATCGCCCTTGTGGCCAATACCTTTGCTTTAAAAAATGGTATGTATATAAATTTCTCATTTCTTCGTTTGTTTTCAATTAATTTTCGAAAAATCTCACCAAATTGTATATAGAAATATGTGGTCTACCCCATTCCAGGAATGGTGATGGTAAAAGGGCCTGCATGGGTTTCTTCCCCAGTTGGTCATATAATTCCGATAAAAACGAGTGCATTGAATTTATCTACGGAGGCTGCGGTGGCAATGACAACAGATTCGGCTCAAAGGAATTATGTGAAGACAAGTGTTTGGAATAAAAAAAATTGTTTTGTAACATTCAATAAAGTGACATAAATAAAATGAACATACAAAATAAAGTTTGGAAGCTTCGTATGAGTTCAATAAAAAAAAAAGTACAACGAGTAATGAAGTGTTTAATATTTGCCTAGCTTTTAGTAATCTAGGGCTTCAAAAATCCAAATTAAAATAATTCCACAGAATTCAAAATGACAATAATAATAACTCTCACATATTTCCTAAATAATCGAAATTTGTAAAGTGTCAGGGCGATAAGCTTTATGTTCAATGTAATGGAATGGGTATAAAATACAACGCCCAGTTCGTTTCAGCTTCAGTTTGATTTGATCAACGCCATCTGAAGGTTCTAAATATTTTACTACTATATACACAAATATTTATTACAAAATATTATATACTTTACTATGAAGCTGCTAGTCCTTATCGTTGTGTTCGTCGCCTTTGTGGCCAATTCGTTGGCTCTGAAAAATGGTATTTATAAATCTCATTTTCTTAGTTCATTCTCAATTAATTACTACCAAATTTTCTACCAAATTTATATAGAAGTGTGTGGTCTACCCCATTCCCGTAATGGTGATGGTAGAATGTCCTGCGAGGCTTATTTCCCCAGTTGGACCTATGATTCCGATAAAAACGAGTGCATTGAATTCATCTACGGAGGCTGTGGTGGCAATGACAACAGATTCGGTTCAAAGGAAATATGTGAAGACAAGTGCTTACAATGAAGTAATTAAATAAAAGTAAATTCTTCAATGAATACTTAATAATCTTATGTCTTAGTTGTTATTATATACCAAAAACATAGCTTGGAGTATTGGTGGTTAAGTTTATTGAAAAATAATTGCAGTAAAAGTGGGTGAAATAAAGTAAAAATTGATTAATTTATTTACATTTAAAAACCGGATGATTTTGTTGTTATTACATTAATAATATTTCAATATTTTTATATATTTGGCAAATGATATATTTAAAAATGTGGTTGAAAATCAAAGCGAAAAAGTATTAAATTCAATTATATCTTTTGAAAACTAAAAATGTTATTCTACAATGAAAAGTAATTGTTACCTGTCATAAATTAATGAGTCTTACGAAATCGCTCAGCATTTTAAACGATATTAAAGTGTTTTAATATATAAAAGAAAGTGAAATCTGATTTAATCCAGATGTGAGGAAGCCACAAAATCCAAAAGGTGACCCAAACAGATTCTATAATCTAGTCTGGTACTATATATAATATTTTTTTATAGTTTTCTGAGTTAGTTTGCTGTTATCAGCTGGCTTTGTATACATAGGGACTCCATTGACCTGCTAGATAAGCCAGAGCTATTCTCCCTCCGATTTCTATATGTATACCTCTATAAAGTGGTGATGTGACAAAGACTGGACAGCCAGAGTTCAACTGGAGTTGCGTTTACAATGAAGTGTCTGGGAATTGTTGCCATTGCCATTCTGCTTAGCCTTTCTTGGGTCCAAGCTAAGCCGGGTAAGTAAGGATCTAGGTCTTAGATCTTAGATTACAAATCGATGGGTAATTCCCAATCTGATAGAAAAGTGCCGGGAGACGCCTTCTATGGCGGGAATGGCCCAGGATGGAGCTGCCTGCATGGCTTTTATGCCAGCCTGGACTTATGATGCCTCCAAAAATGCCTGTTCCGAGTTCGTTTTCGGTGGCTGTGGAGGAAACTCAAATCAGTTCTCCTCTCGAGATGAATGCGAAAAGAACTGCAAGGACTAAGCTAAATGCAAACAAAAGTTCGCATAACGGGCAAAACCCAACAATTTTGTAAACTTAAAAGCAAAACAAACAACCGGCAATCTTGTTTTGCAAAAATATACAATGAAAAGAAAAATAACAAATAAACTTTACTATAATACGAAGGTTTGTTGTATTTGTCGTTGCTTGAAATAACTCAAACATCAATCGAGGGTCAAACTCGACGATTGATAAGCGATCCGGTTTGGGCCTATATAACGTAGACAGCATTTGCGTTTATTCACAGTTTAGTTTCATCAGTCGCGCTTGAGTTCTCTGTAACCCCCAAAACTAAAATCAACATGAAATACTTTGCTGTTTTTGCGCTGCTCGTCTGCCTGTTGGGAACTGCTTTGGCGGAGCTTAAAAATCGTATGTGTTAATCAAGAAAATTTAAAAATAAATTATAAAAAGCAAAAAGAAATATTTTTTTGATTTCATATTTTTTCTAAAATTTGTTTGTCAATTTTATTTAAAAAATAATTCAAATCGTATGTATCAACAAAGAAACTTTAAAAAGTTTGTAAAAATCAAGAAAAATAAATAAACGAATTTTTTATTTTAAATTTTGCATTTCGATAATTTTTTTCGCAATTTAATTCTAATATTAATGGATTTTCAATCCATTTACAGCTGCCTGTGGTGAGACATTCGGCCAATTTGGAGCCTGCCGTGGCCGTATTGAAAAATGGACCTATCGCAAGGATACCAACGAATGCATCAAGTTCTGGTACACCGGCTGCCAAGGAAACAACAACCTATTCGAGACCAAGAGCATTTGCGAAACGACCTGCAAAAACTAAAAACCTTTTGAGAATACCCCCAAATAAAGTTACAACTTTGGTTTTGTTATCCTAATGTGATCATCTTTATTGTTTCTTTTATTAACTCGTTTAAATTTAATTAATATTGGTTTGGCGCTTACTGTAATTAGTGTCCGATTCAGTGTGATTAGGCTAGGCTATATATTTTCGATTTGTTAGCTAACTCTATATATATATGTTGTAGGTGTTTATAAATATGTATATATATTGTTTTATTTTTTTTTTTGTTATATATAGTTCATATGCATTTGCGTGTTTAATTGATATTGTTAATCATTGGAATTGTCTTCTTCGGCCGTTGCTGATTATGTTGGGTTCAATCAGGGGTTATCTTTTCTTGTCACATCTGCCAAGACCAACAACAGCTAACTATGTTTCTAATATATATATATTTCTTAATAAAGTGCTGCAATGTTATTTTTTTTTGTTACATTTTTCTTTGATTTTTTGTTTGTGTTCATATATTGCTTATTGGATTAAATTAAAGTAAAACTAGCACTTAGCCTAATATTTAACTTTTAAACTGTTTTCTGTTTATTGTTTCAAGGGTAGGGTATTTGTAAAATTTTTAGTTGGTTTGCCAAAGAAATTTCTGAAATTTGTACAATTTGTATAAATCTGAGAAATGAAGAACCCTTTCTATGAAATTTAAATTGCACAATTTTATTTGTTTATTATTTTTACTCCTTATTGTTTTTATTCCATTTTGGTTAGCACCGCATTTCCATTTAGAGATACACCTCCTGCATTTACTGCTGATCCTGGAGAGCCTTCGCCAGCTGCCACGCCCCCTAAAGGCGGCTGAGTGGGCGTGGTTGGTGGCGATAACGTAGCATGTTGCTGTTGTTGATATGCCACAGCCGATTCGGCCAGATCCAAAAGTGCCGCCGATGAACTGCCACCTGCATGGGATCCCGATCCCGATCCCGATCCCGATCCCGAACCCGGACCCAAGCCATTCATGGTCATGTCCTGCGCCTCGTGCTTCATCCTCATGGTATTGTTGTTGTTATGATTGACTACATGCTGCCCCAAGGCCGAATGATGGTGGGCAAAGGAGAGGGGTGGCAGATGAAGTCCCGGAAAAGCCAATCCTGCAGCTGCAGCCGCATGCAGCGACTGCAAGAGTGCTGCCGAATGTTCCTGAGCCTTCCGCCGCAACTCGGCCACCGAATTGGACCGCGGATCATGGCCAGATCCTTGGCCCGAGGACTTCGGCGACTCCGGCGAACTGGCCGCCGAACTGCTGCTCACCGGAATGCTCAGTGGAGCCACCACCGAGGAGCCAGGTGGCGGCGGCGGTTTCAGGGAGCAGCACGAGCACAGGCTCTGGAAGGGCGAAACACCTGAAACGAGGCACACAAAAAATAATATACATATTAAATAAATATATTTATATACTAATTATACATTAGAACTAAGATGACTCATTTAATTTCATGAACACATTTTTCTAAACAATTTTTCTTTATGGTCCTTCAAATGAGTTTGAGTGATATAGTAATAATGTAAATTCTTTACTTTAACTATTATAAGAGATAAGTTTTATTGCTCTAAAACCATTACTTGATTTAATTGTAAAAATAGTTATTTAAAATTGCATTGCGTTCCTATTAACTGGATTAACAAATTTATTCGAATAATTATAAGCAACGAAAATAAAAAAGCACTGAATTACATTGGCTTTGATTCAATTAAGAGACTTGTTAATATTGATCAAAGAAAATATATTTTTCATCTTGTGTATGCAATATTTTATATGAAAGTCAATTTTAATCTGAACAAAGACAGCCGAATTCATTTGATTTTGATTTATCTACCAAGGGAAGCATCTGCTGCCTTTTACCCACTCCAGCTAATTTGATTAAACCGAAGTGATTTGGATTGATTTTGTCACTGATCGATTGACCGGAGGTGCAGGGGGGAAAACTCACCTTTGAGTCCCGGGAAAAGCGGCTGGTGGCTGAACTGGGCGGCCAAATGGGGCGGCAGGAAAAGCGGTGGGTGGTTGGCGCTCCGCTGGGCCGCCGCTGCCGCCGCCGCTGCTGCTACGGCGCTCTGCTCACTTAAAACCGGCCGAAAACCGCAGTTGCTAAAAAATATAAAATTGAAATATAAATATAAATAATATTTCAAATATATATGTTCAATTTGGAATATTCGATAGTCATATTTCTTGGCTCAATCACTAAACTGAGGGTTTTTATTTTTGAGCGCATGTATCGCAAAATTTAAACAGATTTCGAGCAAGGGTCAATGTCGATTAATAACCGATCCGGTTTGGGCCTATATAAAGCAGGTAGCATTTCTGACCAGTAGCAGTATCGTCAGTATCATCAGTCGCTGTGGACATCTTTTAAAGTAAACTCAAAAAAATCACCATGAAATACTTGGCTGTTTTGGCTGTGCTCTTTTGTCTGTTGGGAGCTGCTATGGCCCAGCTTAAAAATCGTAAGTATTTGTTTTGTATTTATCAACAAGGTTTAAAAAAATGTGTTAGATGTGTAAAAATACAAAACCTTCACAAGTTTTCTTATCTTAAAACCCATTTCTTTTTAAGCCAGTCTTAAAGCAATAAAACACGAGTGTTAATTTTTTAACGCAAATTTTCTTTATAATAAAATAGTTATATTGCCCATAGAGCGTAAAAATTATCAAAACAATTTTTGCCATAGTAATTTTTAATAGACAAGAGTCTGAAGACATGTTAAAAACAATATTTAAATTTTAAAAAGATAAGCTAAATTCATTATTGAAAATATAAAAATGAATATAATAATTATTTTGTGAAAACTTTTATTTTATAAGAATTAATTATTAAAATATTACTAAATTTACAGCAATCTGTGGCGAGGAGTCCGCCCTTTCTGGAAGTACTTGCCGTGGACTATTAATGAAGTGGACCTATCGCAAAGATACAAATGACTGTGTTGATTTCAACTACACCGGTTGCCATGGAAATAACAACCGATTTGATAGCAAGGAGCAATGCGAGCAGTCCTGCAAAAATTAGGAATTCTATCTATGAACTACATTTTTCAAAAAAAACGAAAGTTATATTTTGTTATCCTATTTTTATAAACTATTATTTTTACATCTCCTATGTGGAGTTAATAAAATGAGAATTTAAATACAACCTAAGTCAGTGAAATTCCATTACCAATTTACTATCTCCTCAATCTACCCTCGCATTTTAGTCACTGCACCCATTTACAATTAAACTGCTTTGCATTTCGCCTGCACGCGCACATTAAACGGAACAAATTTAAAATAAAACACCACATCACACACAGCAGCCAAACAAACAAAAACAACAAACAGAGTTTTAATTAACGCTTAATTGAAATAAATTAAAACATTTTTATGCGTAATTGCATTATTATTAATAAACCTAAATATTTTGTATGTGCGAGCGGGGGAGAGTTGTTGGAATAATCAACACCCAGTTGTCATTTTTGTGACCGTTTTAATTGAATGAAATATTACGCTTAGTCGCATGTCAAGGCAAATGGTATTCCCAACGGAAAAAAACAAACACACACCCTAACCGAACAATAAAAAACATTTAATGCAATTTGAAAATTTTAATTGATAAGTGAGACAACGCTTCGTGGAATTAATAAATTCCTATGGCTCTCATAATCCCCATTAATAAAATTATAGAACATTAGGTTCTATATATACAAACACTTTTTTATTAGGAATAATTGCGTTTAATCAATGAGTGCAAAACTTGAGATGGAATTTCTTTGCTGCTCGTAATATAAAAAAAATGCAATTTCCATTTGTTCAAATTTACATTAAGCCCCGGACAACCGTTGGCAATGTGTCTAAAATTTAATAATTTCGGTGGAGAAGGTGGGCCCGTTTCTGTGGTCATAACAAATCTCTGGATATGCTAATCGAGTTGGGGGACTTTTGGGCGCGGAAAATGACAGGCAGACCTCGCGAATAGCGACCACAACCACCGGGGAAAAAAGGACCACAAACGTCGCGGCCACTGTCGCTTTTAATTCTCCTCACTTTTCACTTTTTATTATTTTTCCCTCCTCCCAGGAAGAATTCCCTCTCCATTTTCCTAAGCTCGTCATGTTTTTGGCTTTTCCTTCTCCTCCCACAATTTACCGTGATTTCTCCGAGGTTTTCTCGCTTTCTCTGGTCTTTTATTTTTGTTTTTTTTCGGTAGTTGCAAAACGTTTGTCCGCTTGAAACAGAATTTTCGATAAGGTAATTGGGTTTTTTTTTGGGTTTTCAAAATGCTTCTGTCAATTTTTTGTTTTCGCTTTGAGTTTGGCGTTGATAAGAAAAATGATTATGAGGTGAAACATGAAACTTAAGTATTTAATTTAGTCGGAGTGATTTTTTTAAAAAAAAGCTGGTTATGGAAACATTAATTTACTGACATTTTTTATTTTATCTTCCAAGTTTTGATATACTTAGAAATGATTATTATGCCAGCTTTGCTTGTAAATTGAATAGTTAGAAACTATTTCCAATTCTTGTTTCTTTAACAAGCCACTCAGTTTATGGTAAACGAAATAATTACAGGGTGAAACATGGTACTACAACATTTTATTTAAGGCAGAACTGTATGTATTAATTGTTCAATAAACAAACATGTATGTGAAAATAACTCTTCCCAATATAGTTCGAAAATTTGTAAAATTCCTATTCGCTTTAGTAAAATATCCCAGGGAAGAGCCAAATGTTTTTCTTCCATACACAAATACTATCTCTCCCCCTATTTTCACTTACCCCCTGGCCCCTAATTAAGCTTCGAGCCAAAAAAGCAAAAGTCCAAGCGGCAAAAGCGAGATGGGAAAGCTCAAATAACAGCAGCCATGGCAAAAACAACTAAGGCAAACACTCGGGCGTAGACAGACCGCCTCCCCCACCCGTTTTAGACCCCCCTCTCTCCACCCCTCTCTAGTTGCGAAAAAAGCAGTAAACTTAAATGTTTGCGTATAATTAAGCACTCATCCTTTGGTTGTAATTAAATTTTGCATGTGCACATCCAACAGATGCCTCGGACCCTCGGAGTCTGCAGCTTGGGGCTTCATTCTAGAACATCCCTCTCGTTTTTCACCCCCTCAGTATCCCCGTCTCTATTGCCCCTGATAAGCCTCTCTCTTTCACTCATGTTTTGGGGACTGGCAAAAATATGCTAATTGCTATAGGCGACTTTGCAGCACTGGAAAAAATGTTTTCTTTTAGTAAAAGCTTTTTATTTGTATTTCCATATTTCTTGATATGTAGATGTCTTGTTTTAATAAAAATATTAAGATTATTCGCCAAAAAAAAAAACACATAAAAATGTTGTTAAGATTGGAATTATTATTCTTATTTTACAAGCACTTTCATATTATGTACCCAATTTTTTTCACACTGTTAAGTGAAAAACACAAAATACATTTGAATTTTAAGGATTTCCAAGTTTGAAGTCTAAACTGACTTTTATTTTAAAGTACTAAGAACCTTCAATTGCTTGCCCCAATTTTTTCACAGTGCAAGAGGCTGAGAATAGGGGGCGTTGCCATGTCCCACGCCCACTCGTCTGCCGCCGCCTTAATTGCTATACTCATAGACCCCGACCCGCCCGACTTTTCCCTCTCCCTCTAATTAAGACATTCACGAGCTCGAGTGTTGTCGTTGAGCTCGTTAGTTAGTACATAACTTTTCCTCCGGGCAGCAGAGAACGTGAAAATATAAGGAAAATGGGGTGGGGGGAAAGGCTGGGAGACTCTGTCAATGTCAATCTTGGAAGCTCCATCTCAGTTTTCCACCTTGAGTTGCCACAAAAGTTTTTCTTAAAATTTTCGCACTTTTCGCAGATTGCATTTAGCCAAGGATAAAGTTTTCACAACTTGACATGCACATGGAAAATTCACCCCCATACTCGTTGTGTGTGTGTGTGTGTGTGTGTAATTAGTCGGGCAAACATTTTAATGCTTTACGCAATTCTAACAAATTAAACTCGAGCAATCAACACCTACACAGACTTAGCTTTCCCGATTCTGCCCCCCACACAAGTCAAACTTAATTTCCGCAAAATGTACTTTTTTCCACGAAACTTTTTGGGATACACCCCCTCATAATGCTTATTATATTAGGCTACCCGAAAAGTTTGGAAGCACGAAGGCAGCTTATTTTAATTGCATGATGAATATTAAAATATTTGCTTAATTTATTATTCAAGTACTCGCATTCGTGCGCGCAGCATAAGCGGTTTGAATATCCGCACACACCTGAATTACATGTGGAATATGGGTAGATATAAGTGTATATATGGTATAAGTGGGTACACATAATTTGGGGCCATAGATGTATGTGGATTTTCGGGGTATATTCCCACGGCCGAAATACATATTTAGTTATTTGTGCATTAAGTATCTGTGGCGGAATGCTTAAAGTAGAGTGGAGCTGGCAGATTTAACGATGCTGGCGGGTATTTAATTAACATTTTTAACTGCGAACTTATTCCAGCGAATGATTATGGATTTAGTTCGGGGACTAGAATTAGTGGAATATTACAAATGTGATGGGATTTGGTATGAGTCCTTGCATATCTATCATATTTCATTTTGAACAGATGGCTAAAACTCTTAAAATTGTTTTGAAAATCTAAATCTTGTCAAATAATATGTTAAACAATATGTAATGTAACATATATATTTTTTAGCTCAGCATTTTCCAAAAATTCAGTTTCTTAACATATGTATGCCTAAAATATTTTTGAAACTAATAACTTATACTTTTTGCACCATGCTGCACCTTAAAACAATTTTGTAAACTCCAATTAAGATTGTCTTTTATTCGCTTACTCATTGCTGCATAATTTTTGACTCTGCGCATTTTAAGTATCGGCTTGCAATAAAAAGGCGTTTAAGTGTTTTTTTTTTTGCAGTTGCATAATTTGTATAATTTGCCATTATTTTTTGGTTCCCTTGCGGGGCCATGAATAAACCCGGTTTTGCCATATATGGATGAAGCCTCCTCTTGCGTCACCAAAAACGACCTTGCCAAGCGAGACAAGTGCGTATTAATGCTTGCTAATTATTTATTTAGTTTTTGCCCAAGCTCGATTTGCATAAAATATGCGTGAGAGTAAAAGAAAATACGATGATAAATGCTTGTGATGAAACGCTTCGCTTCAGATCGAGATATGCTCCTATTGGCACATCCAGTGATGGATGGCAGGGTTCATCCGGTTCTGGGGCATTTGAATAATAATATCTCAGTATATTCGAGATTCGGAATTGATTTGGTCAACCGTTACAGCAGCAAAATCAACGGGGATTCCAAAAAAGGGAAGTCGGGTGAAATGATTCAGCAATCGAACGAAAAGCGTGCCCCTTCGCAATGGGATGTCCTTGGTTCTCGAAACTTGTATTGTTTGCCAGCCGGATCCTGTTCCTTTTTATTGTGGTGTAATGTTTGTTGTTCCAGCGCGTTGACATGTGAGAGCCAAGAGTCTTTTTTGCTTTTTTGGCCCACCCATGGCTGATGAGACCGCCCACCGATAGGGCAAAAAATAATTTAAGGGGGAGTTCTGAACCCAACCCGAAAAAAAGAAAAAATAGAAAGCAAGACCACCGCCTTTTGTGCGTTTTCAGGCTGGTGGCATATGGTTAGAGACTCTTTGCCGGCAAAAAACGACAAACGACAAACAAAACACCCTCGTTTACGCCCAATTTACTTTTCAAGTAGCTTTTTATGGCCTTGTGGCCAGGCATTTTTGAATTTCTGATCTGAGTAGCTAAAAGCAAATGGAATAACAGAGTTAATAATCTTTATAAATCGGTAATAAAAGGGAATGTAGTTGACTAGATAAAAGATTATGTTTATTTTTAAAGATGAATGATAAAGTATAAAAGAAGAGGAATTCCAAAAATATTATATTCAGCTTCCTTTTTCTTGGCGATTGAATCGTAAATAAAGCACACTGGTAAAAAAAAGTACTCAATTTAAGTATTTTTCCCTTTAATTTTCAATCGTTTATTGTATTTAATATTAAAATTAAGTATTTAATTTAAACATTTTATATACGATTTTGAATTCAAGAGACATAAAGGAAACACTGGGTAGTTATTTGCAATCAATATTATTTTTCTCATCCAAAAAGTAATTTAACTATGTTGAGTTTTTATCTGACGCATTTCAAAATGAATCTGCAAGCGTGTCTATATTTTTTCTAAACTGCATGTTTATAGCCCCAAGTTTATATTTTTTGGACAGCTAACTCCCGTTGACATATAATCTCAGTGTTGGGGTTATCTTTGGTCAAAAATATATAAAGAAATCAAATTGATAAGAGCTCACAGTCTTGTATACAAGCTGAAAAGTGGGCCCCAGTGTTTCAGTCGCCTTCTTTATCTGATCTATGTTAAATCGCCTTTACTGTTTGGGAAGTATTACAAAAATGTTAAAGCTCGGAATTGTTCTGATCTATATTTTAATTGCTGGAAGTCTAAATGATTCTATGAGTCATGCAAATAAATTTGATTATTCGGAGACCAACCAGGATCGATGGAACACCTGTAGGGATGTGATAGCAAACGACACGCTTGCAGGACAAGTGCAAATAAAAAACCAGTTGGCCGATTTGCAGGGAGATGTTACCAAAGTGACAAACTTAATACCACTGGACTTCAGCGAGAAATTGGTTAGAATGGAGACCCATTTAACAGCGCTAGAATCGAAACTGGAAACCATATTCAGCCAACTTACAGCCATACAGGAAACACTATCAATGCCGCCGGGGTTCATTCGAATCGGTTCGAGATATTTTCATATAGAAGAGAACATCAAGCAAAATTGGTACACTGCTGCATTGACCTGTCGTCAGAAGGGTGGACACTTAGCTTCCATCAGAAACCAAGAAGAACTTGTCCTGATAAGTGAAAAACTCGAGACGGAAACATTTTACTGGCTTGGCATCTTCGAACCAATAAAAAGGGGCGAATTTGCTACAGTACTTTCGAATAAGACTGCACCTTTTCTAAAGTGGCATCCCCAGGAACCCAAGTATGTGGACAGTACATTGCACTGCGTTCTTGTGAGAAATTCAGTCATGCATGTGGAAAATTGTAAAACGCCATCAAATCGTTTCATTTGCCAAGCTGATGACAAAAATTAATTTTAAAAGAAAGAAGAAAATTTGGTAAACATACTATATTAAGTGGCTAAAATTAAAATAATGAATAAAAAATCATCGTGGTAGACGTCTTAGAGTTGTGTATATGTATATCGTTTCCTCATTATAAGATTTAAAACATTTGATATATTGGGCAAACTTTAAGACAGGCAAGTGAATTATTATACTGTATTTATTCAGCAACAATTGAAATCATGAATATAAATTATAATAGCAATTTAGCTCCTTGACTTCCATAACTGCAATTATGTATATACCTAAATTATTAGAACATATAAAGTATTGGATATAATGTGACAAATTTAGGATGCATTACAAGTAGTAAGTGAAAATATCCAGGTTCATTAGTGAATAAGCCAATTACTGGACTACTTGTGTAGTTGCAAACAATCTGCGACCCCTGGAAATATCCGTTTCAGCACCCTCACTCAAACCCTCCCCTTTTTTTCGATCAGTCTGAACGATTATAAACCCAACGATCTGCTAATTGCCTGCGTGTCATTAAGCCTCCACTTACAAAGGAATTAGACAAACAAACAATAAAATTTATGGCAAGTGTCGCATTTTGTCATCAAGCTGCGACAAAAACAACTGCCGGGGAAAAAAAGTTGAGGAGAAGAGGAAGTGGAAACGAACTGCGTTTCAACCCCTGGCAAATATTTACAAATAGAGATTGCGACAAAATGCCACCCCTAAGTGGGCAGTGCCAATGTAGCCGTCTCTCTCTTTTCTCGTCGTTTAATCCCCCTAAGTTTTTTTTTTTTTTTGGCGACGATGACTAAATTAGCAGTTGATTTAGGAGGTGGAGCGGTGGATTTCTTGGGGCTGGCAGCCAGACAATGACCGCAATGAGAGCAGTAATGACATTAGATGCTTGGCCGGGTGTGCAATGCGATTCTTGACTCCCGAACCCTTGTTTTTCGCATCCTTGTTGTCCTTCACCGAGAGAAAATAGGTTGAAGAAATGGGAATGTGAACTAAATATAAGAAACAACCAATTTTAAAAGAGCTCTAGTAACTTAATTTCTAGAGTTTAAAGAATCCATCCTTAATTGCAATCGTGATTAATTTCTACAATTTTATGTTACCAGAAAGACTTAACAGTATTTTTTTACAAAAGTAAATATGAAAAAATTAAAAAAAAATTCGACTATATAATAAATGATTTTTTTCATATATATATTCTATCTTACTTCACAATTTCCTAAGTGATATATCTCCTGTCGGAAGTTCGAAATTTCAACCCATTTTAACACATTTTTTTTCCTGAGTGTCTTTATGCCATCGACTCCTGCGGTGTTCATGTCTCGATTCTCGACTTTCTGTCTTTTTCCCGTTGGATTTTCCCGACTCACGGGTTATTGAACAGGCGTGCGCAGCGGAAGGCGTTCTACTTAATGTTTTGGATGGAAAACGTTTAAATTCCATTGACGCACTTCCGGTCAGCGGATGTCGTGTGCGCCAGCGGAAACATTAAGAGAGCAGTCTCCTCCCCCCTTTATTTTTTCCCCTCCTTCGAACTTTGGAAGAAGAAAATCCTATCGTATAAAATGCCTGACCCCCCGCTAATGATGACGGTCATCATCGATATGGCCGATTTGGCCGACACGTGCAATCTCGAGGGCGAACAGTATCTAATCATCGCCATCGTCTCAGCCATATGTGGGATATGCTAGAAGGATGTTCCGGCATCCTTTAGCAGCTGGATAGACCAGAAGATAAATGACTTGGTTGATAGTGCCTCGAATTGATTTTCGCCGGAAGCTTTGATTCGTTTTTATTGGGTGGGATTGTGCAATTAGGTGAGTCTGTGTCTTAATTTAAATGCATTACTAACATTTAAAAAAAAAATGTAATGCTTTCCTAAACCAATTTGACTAATTTTTTATTATAACCGATTTTTCTACCTTTACATTTTAAAGCCCTTGTTTTTAAATAACTTTGTATTTCATTTGTAGCACCAATAGAATAAGTAAATCATTTATTTTATTTTTAAATATCTGCCGTAAATTAAAATCATTTTTATTATTAAGACTCACTTTTAGGAAGTCAGGGATGTTTTGAAACAAATTTTGAAATAAAATAGTTTATAATTCGACTTACCTCTCGCTGGCGTTGCTGGCGCCTCCAAAGTTCCCGAAGATGTGGCTGCCAAAGGCGGCCGCCGCAGCCGCCGAAGAGTGTGGCAACGGCAGTTGGGGGGCGGGCGTGGGCGTGGACGAGGCCGAGTTGTTGGCGGAGTTGGTCGGCGGCATCCTGGAGCCCGTGGTCAGGGACATGGGTCCGCCCACCTCGATGGGGGAGTCGGTGTTCCGCGAGTTCGAGGGGCTACTTGACCCCTGACCCCCTCCGCAACCGCCTCCAGCCAATGGCGTATGCTCGCGATCACGGTGCATTCCCGAGGGCGATGGCGATCCGGCACTGATGGAGCCCAGCGACTGGGAGGCGGAGTGCGGGGTGGTGGTCAGCTGATTGGAGGACAACGGACGCTCATTGTCGCTGGAATCCAGGTGCATGGCACCGCCAGGACTGCGGGAATGCGAGTGGGAATGCGAATGGGAGTGCTGCTGCTGCTCCATTTGACCATTGATCAGCGGACTATGTGACCGCTGACGAGGCGGTAACTCATCCATGTCGTCGTCTATTTCACCCGTAATGTCTGGCGAGGATTCGCGAGAGTCGTGGAGCTGCAAAAAGGAACAATCAGTATTAAGCAATCTCGTTAAGGCTAAAAATAATCACTTTTATAATTAAATTAGTATTTAATTCATTCATTCATTAATATTTAAACTAAAATAAAATAATCTGCAAGGAAAATTCTTTTGATTCGTTGTTTTTCAAAAACCAAAAAATGCAATGCTTTGCGCAGTGGTCTAAAAGTTTTCGGAAAGATAAGTTTAGGGCAACAGTACGTATGAGTGATAAAATTTAGAGCCCTTTCAATATATAACATAATTAAGGGGAATATGTTTATTTTATTTTATTTATTTAAATTTGTAAGGTGTGAATTTACTTATAATGATATTTTATAATATTTTATAAACAATTTCTAACTCTGACATTGTAAATGCCCTTTTCAAGGTGTCTACTAGGGAATGTACCCTTGTTTAAGCCTTTGATAATTTAATTTATTTACCTTATCCAGTGAGCTGCTGCTTTCACCATTTTCCCGCTTTCGCTGCTCATCCTTGAGTCGCTCCGCCTTGCGCCATTTTGCCCGGCGATTTTGGAACCAGACCTGCGGTATAGCAAAAATGGAAAACTCGAATGAAATTGAGAAAGTTGGGGCCAAATTGCCATGATATGGCCACATGTCTATTATTATTTATGCCACGGGGCATGACTCCTGCTGCAGGAGTCCTGCTGCCAGCCAATGGAAAATTGAAAAACTTTCCTTTCCGCACACTCACACACACAAAGGCAATTTTCCACCTCAGAAACTTTAACAATTTGTTGTGTGTTGAGTGTTGTGTGCCACCCTCAAAAAATGTTGGTGTTTCCCTTTTGTCCTTTCAGCCAATCTAAGATATAAACAAACAAAATCTGATTTTCAATTTTGCTAAGGAAGACAAAACAAATTTGGCCTGTAATCAGCGCTTAAATTGGGGAAAGGGGGTGTGGCACTGGGGGGCGGAATATCCCCCCACACACACCCACACATGGCTGCCTTTCTCTAATGAGGCTCAATCAAGACAATGCCCTGGCATCCTTAGGAAACACATCCTTTGGATTGCTTGCTTATGCGCGCGTGTTTCCTTTTTCGTATGCCCCCCCTTTTCCCAAATTTTCCTCACAATTTTCCCCTTTATATCACAGAATTTCCCTTACTTGCCGTTCGTTTCGTTTGCTTTTAGTTCCGGTTTGCGTTGATTCCCCAGCTTAGAGCGCCCTCTAATGGGATTTCCCTGCTCGGGCGCCATCTTGAATGAAAATCACTCTCTGTGTGTGTTTAAGTATGTGTGTGTGCGTGTAAGTAAGTTTCCTAATCAAAATTCAAATTAGACATTGTGCAGAAGTTGGCATTTTGGCTCCATTGTTGTAATCATAACGCAGCGTAAAACAATTTCAACATTATTTCGGGCCTGCAGGCAACTTATTCCACTTCTACCCACTTTGGCCGCCATGTTTCCCCAGACTTTGCTCCTGTTTTTCCCCCAGTTCCTTTTTGCTAGGCAAACAATAAATTGCGCACAATCCAACCCCCAAAAAAACTGGGAAGCCACCTCCCCACTGAGAGGTCTGAACTTTTCCAGTTTTCCTCCTTTTTTTTTTGCTGGTGGTGGTGACGCCCACCAGTTACTTAATACAATATTTATGCCATAAGCACATTACCAATAAAATATGGCTGGGTAAACTTTTTTTCTCTCTCTGTGTGAGTGTGTGTGGCTGTGTGTGTACCCTAGGGGTGAAAGAGAAGGAGACAGACAGCTGAAAAGAGAGAGGTGGAGGCCAACGATAAAAGCAGCTTCTCCTTCTGACTGCTCCTGTTATTATGACAAAAATTGAATAATGAAAAACAATTGTGTGCGTCTGCCGTCTCTTTCCCTCCGGCCATTGCCATCTCACTCTCTTCCAATCATAATTTCATGCACAATTTTGCTTTGTTTTATTACACACAGAATTTAACGTGTTTCTTATTTATTCAATTCGCTTGGCTAAGTTTCTTGATTGCCTTCTCGGAATTACTTTGGAAAATGGTTGGGGTATTGGAAGAAAACAAATATACCAGGATATTGTTTTTTTAACTTGATTTTTGAAGTTTTAAATTTGCTTTGTCATGTATTACAATTTATTTATTTTTAATTTCATTGCAAAATTTAAATATGAACATATGTATTTAGGTGCATAAGAAATATGTGGCAATGCCAAGTATACTTTTAGGGGGGCCTAAAAAGTGTCTACGTGTAGATTAATGATACTGGTAAATAAAGAATTATAAACAAAATTTAAAAAAAAAACTTTTTAACACTTTTAACTTTTTTTCAAGTTTAATAACTATAAATTTATAATTTTATAATTTTTTCTTTTTTAAGTACAGCGGAATATCTAAACAAGTTTGCTAAGAACAAGTCTTAAACCATGTCGAATTCGTTTTTATTTAATGAGCTTGTTCTTTTTTCTTACTACGACTATGATATCTGGTATCTAGTAATCAGTATGTCTTAAATGC